AGCGAGAAGTCTGTCCACGCTTATTGCAGTCATTGTTATCAACGACACTGAACACAAAGTAGCACCTGCGAAATATGCTGTCAAATTTGTGTAATAGCAAATGACCCGTCTTTCGTTCACCACAGATATCCAATATGCAACGCTTAGAGGCTCCGCAATGATACCAACACAAAGATCAGTTATCGCAAGGTTACGATACAAGAGTTTGGATGACGGATGAATTGATGTGGCCTTGCGATGGGCAACTAGGATCAGAGTATTCCCCAAAAATGCTGTAATTGACAAAAAAGTGTTAATGACAGAGAGAAAAACGAGCTCGCCATGTACCTCTCCAGTAAATTCCTCAGAGCAGTCAAGTTCTGCAATTGTTTGCAGGTTTTCACCTCCAGTCAAATTTTTCATTTCCATGACTTTTCTGCGATGCGGCTACAGTCAACTGAACTCTTTTTTAATATATCTGTCTTCCTTATATGACTGCTACCTGCACCTTGTCAGCAAACAATGAAATATTTGCTCTGTATTTTCAGTTTATTAAACGATAGAATTCGACAATCTTGGTGTTGCCTTTGTGTTGCGGTGCGATTAGCGAGCAAATAGCACAATTGCCTGGCTCTTAGAAAACGAGTTAAACTGTTAGTAATAAAAAGTCTATTGACCAAGTCTTGATCGATATTTCTGTTAAACATATATTCAAATTGAGTAAAAAACGGTTTTCGTCAATTGCTAGAAGTTAAACTGACGCGCTCATAATGTCATCGCAGGCAGCTTTGAGGTCTCAGTAACAATGTATAAATGTTCAAAAAAAGGGCTCGAAAGTCTGGGCCATTTACGAGGTGGGAATTAAACAAAATAAAAACGTTCGATCGAGTTTAGGAAACTAGAATGTAACCTGTTTTTATCATATAAAAATCACGAAAAAAAGAACTGAATTCGACGATTAATCGAGAGCAATCAGCAGTTTTAGTAAACATCGTGAGAGCAACAACGAGAAAATTTTGCTCAACGGAGGTGTTAAGTTTGTGAGCCAAACATATGATATGCGGTGCCGTAAACTGCCGCTTAAAAGCCCTGGGATTATACATCTTTTGAGGGGGATTATAACGGAATTGGAAAAAGCTGTTCGAAACAATTCAAGCTAACGCAGTGCTGATTTAAATATGTTTTGCAGTTACTGGCACGGTTAAAAACTCATTATTTTAAATTAGCTTTTAGCTTATAACCTATAATATTTTAACATAGATTTTTTGCACGCATATATAATATTTTTATCTAGTATCCATTTATTAACTATTTAGGAAGGCTGTAATTTTTTATCCATTTCATTGTAGTATTATAATCATTGTAATGTAAAGCGCATTAGATCATATACCAATGTATTTTGCGCTATATAAATAATAGAGTTACGTTATGTTATGGTAAAAGCTTCAAAATATCATAATAAATCAAATTCATTTCAATGCAAGTTAGAGGGGAGAATATATTGGCGAGCCTGTTACTGGTGGGGCTTATATTAAAGTGTTTCTGTATTTTGTAGCTTCAAATTGCTGGTGCCGTTTTTCTTCAACTTTGACTGACGTTCACATGGATACCAGCACTAAATTGGCCACATTTTCTTTAGAAGAGGAAGTCTTAACCGAGTATATCTCCAAACATGTCAAATTTTGTGGGCTATAACTTTAACATTTTGGGCGGTTTATTTGCAATTGCTTAAATTGCTGTTTTACTACGTCAAGATTATATCTTCATTTAAATTGCTTTTTAAATTTATTTCCCTCGTTCACATCATCTCCCGGCGCGTCCAATTCGGATCTGTTATATGAAAGGTAAAATATTTAAAATTAAAAACGCCAGGGTGACGCTCGTTTCGATTGAGTATAGTGAACCCAGAGTATTAACATAGAACTTGCACCATCATTCACCATCATATTTAGCTATCCTCTTTTGTCTTAGAGAAAAATTAACTCGCCATGTACCTCTCCTCGACTCTCCAGTGAATTTTGCACAAAAATACAGTTTTCTAATTGCTTGGTAGTTTGTCATTACCATGACTTTTCTCCGAAGCAACTACGTTCAAGCGAACCTTTTTTTAATATATCTGTTTTCCTCATGTGATAGCTTCATCATGTCAAAAACCAATTAGATATGTGGGCTGTATTTTTATTTTATTAGACGACAGAGCTATTGGCAATCTTTTTGCTGCCCTGCAATTGGCAAAACAAATAGCACAATTGTCTGGTTTTTAGAAAAGGAGCTAAACTGTCATGATCAGTGATACAAAGTTTATTAACCGAGTCTTGATCGATACATCTGTTAAACAAAGATTCCAATTGATTAAATAAGGCTTTTTATTAATGTACTATCAATGTCTCATCGCAGCCTCGAAGTCTTAACAGTTATACACATGTTCAAAAAGTGGGCTAAATTATGTCTGGGTCAGTTTGTACCATATACTTACGAGATGAGAATTAAAGAGGAAATATGCTTTACGTTCGTTTTTGCTGCTACTATCTCTCTTTTTAAATCCACATTAAAAACATTTCTTCTTAGTTGATTCAACCATTTGTAAATAATACTTGTTTTTTGCTGCTTTTTGTCTGTTTTGTTTTGCTTTCTTTTTATCCTAATTATATTTCAGTATGACTTTGCCGTTTATTTATTCATTATGTTTAGTCTTAGTTTAGGGAGCCAGCTCATATAATAAGCCCCAACAAGGTTTCCATTTGAGCTTCAACGCCAGAAATTTTTTTAAAATTGTTTTACTTGCAATTTACGTCTCTTTAATCTTCAAATAGCATATTTGTAATATATTGAATATCTGTATGCATATGTAATTTTTTTTCTGGCAAAAAAAATACATTGAAACTAAATTTCAGTTTCAGAGCATGCTAAACTTTCTTTTTAAAGCGATGGCTCGTGCGCAGCCCAACATATAAAAACCAGTTCATACTCATGCGAATGAATTCTTATTTTCAATTGAAAGAAAGAGCACCAGGACTTACACCTAATTGCAATAACATTGTTATGGAAAAAAATGCTAAAAGGAAGACGGGAAGAAGGCAAGTAGTAATTAATTAGACTTACTTGAGGTGCGTTCCTTTGGGATGATCCGGAACAGGATCAGTGATCCGAGATCAGTCGGATAATGGTAGATTAAGGGACGGACCATTAGAAAACTTACAACGGGGGTGGGGGCGGGCGAAGTACAAAAAAAAATATTCGCGCACGGCAAAATTAAAGGGAAAAAAATTCATGCACGAAAATTAACCCTAAAAGATATTCATGCCACGGCCTAAAAACAATTCATACAAGGAATTTGATAACGAACATAAATTCCTGTGGCTCAAAAATTCCCCACCCCCCACCATAACTTTTCTGATGGTCCGCCCCTAAATGAACCGATGAATCTATCCTGGACAAAGATTCATCACAGGCATTCCAAGCTCACGTTATGAGTGCGTCATGCGAATTTAACTTTCTTACAAGAGAGTAGGTGTCGCGTTTTAAGCGACCGTTGAGACTTTGTATGAGAAATAAAATACTGAGGTCTGCGAAGGCCAAATATCAGTGTTTTCACTTTTTGCTATAAAATAAATAAAGGAGACTTAACTTTGATGTCTTCCTGTGTTTTGTTTGGTGTGAATTCATCGATGTAGTCGGGTTTTCTGGCTGTTTTTGTGTGACCCCTGTCACTCTCTTCATAGTACTGAAGAGAGTGACAGGGATCACACTATATAGGGTGCACTCACTTGCAATATATGCGTAGAACCGACGCATTTGTATTTGTTTTTAAGCCTTAAAATCGCCTATTCTGCAAATGAAAAGCCCTGTAATAGGCCTCTTCCGAGTTCCAAAAACCCACTTTCAAAATGAGGCTAGGTGCACAACCTTTTTTGTGAAAATGAGTTTTATTTCCATGAGAATGAAAAATGGCCCATTGTTTATTTGTAAGCCCACAGGTAGCCCAAGCTCGAAATATGAGCGTCAGCGAGCATCGGCATTGTTGCACAACATTCTAAATATAAGGATTTGTATGGAGAAAAACCTATCGTTTCTGAAACCTAGGAAAACGAAAGGATTTCAATAAAAAACAGCTTACCTTACATAAAATGTGTGTTTTATCTCTCCTGTGTGGTCCATGGGCCGATTTATAGGTTGTACTGTAAACGGTTTATAAATACAGCTATTTCGAGAAAGGTTGTCGCAAAAAGTGCACGCGACAATCACGAAAGGTATTGTGGGTGGTTTTGAGTTCGCTGTTCTTCAAAGAAATTTGAAAGAATGGCACAACAGGCCGTGGACGTATGTTTGCGCGTGCTAGAGGAAAGCAATAAAAGACGTTTTGACAACTACACTGTCAGGAACAGTGTATTGATCATATCCCATATTACCTCTCGGGATTGTCGCGTGCAAATTTTTGCCCACAACCTTTCTCGAAATAGCTGTTTACAGAGAAATCCGTTTACAGTCCAACCCATAAAACGGCCATTAATTGGCCCATGGACCACACAGGAGAGATGTAACACACATTTTATGTAAGGTAAGCTGTTTTTTGTTGAAATCCTTTCATCTTCGTAGGCTACAGAAACGATAGGTTTTTTCCCCATATAATTCCTTATACAGAATGCTATGCAACAATGCCAATGCTCGCCGATGCTCATATTTCGAGCTCGGGCTACCCGTGGTAAGCCTAATTAATCCCTGTTTGGCTATTTTCGTATTTTCGGTATCCTCCGAGGAAGTGCGCGTCTATAACAAAAGCGAGCAATCTGATGAAAAAAACAAACAAACAAACAAACAGACCAAACGAAAAAACAAACAAACATCAACCCAAAACCATCATTCACTCACCAGAATTACAATTCTGCCGTTTACATGTTTATTATTTGTTAACCTAATCTTAAACAATGATGACCGCAATTCTGTCTTCTTACAAGAAACTTTCTTCTATGCAGCACGGTCTACTTTTTTGGTGTTTATATGTTAAATTTACTATCTTATGAAATGATCTGATCATACAATGCGGAATAACAGTACGGTAGGTAAAAGGATATCGTATAAACTAAAGACATACAAAACATTTCAAAAAAGATTAAACTAACGTTAATTCCCCCGTAATCGTATAAACACTTATCGCGGCATGCACTTACTCCAAACCGTGTTCAATAAATTTTCTACGGAAATTTTTCTATTTCTTTTTTTTTAACGACCAAGACCTTTTTTAGTTTGGATATCATCCTTTGTCCTCATAACCTTTACATTACATTAAGAAGAGATATTTTAAGTTACATGCTGTTTACCTAAAGGGCCAAGAGTTAAAATAGACGGGCAAATAAGCGGAGAATCAGTCATAAAAGTTTGCAATAAGCAAATAAAGAAATGGAAGGAACTTTGCAAACAGCAACGCGCGAAGGATATTTGAAAGGGAGGAGGACATGTTCTTTACCTTTTCGTTCCATTAAACTGCTATTTTTTTCAATTTTCTAACTAGTAAGGAAATCCCAAGGACATATCACTTAATAATTATTCATTTTTTATGATTACAACATGTTTCGTTTCATTCAGTTATAAAAAATATCGATTTAAATGTTGCGAGTGCACCACTGCAAACTTCCCAAATGTTCAATGTCAAGACATACAGTAACCTGAATTCTTTGTTATCCCTACTTTTCAAGCTAAATTATCCTTGTATTCTAAGGGCAATCATCATAAGCATGCTTTCACGTTCAGAGTATAAACAACAGATTATGATTGGTCCAATTATGATCTCTTGGTATGAATGATTTTAGTGTTTTTACAACGATAAATAAACAATCTGACAAACTACTATAACTGATCAACCTAAACCTACTTTTCATTTCTTATTCATCATGAGATTTGCTGATAGTTTTCTTAATTAACTTTCTAAAGTAATTTATGATTACTGTTTTTCAAATTCTGACCAATATCACTCTTTTCACCCCTGAAAGGACCTTGATAGTTCGTGGCAAATGGCCTCTAGTTGGACACCATTAAAGGTTCAAGTACCAGGGCCAGCCTAGGCACAACAAATAAGCACCGGAACCAAACGGTCTGTACAGCTGGGAACTCCTTGATAATGTGCCACGAAATTTATCTCTGTTTTCATTACTTACACAAAAATAGTTTCGTGTGTAATAGCGCACCGGACTTTTTGGAGCCCACCCCTAGGAAGACCTGAAAAGTCAAGGCTTCGAGTTAGACAGCTTGAATGGCTCCAGGGCCCGGGCCAGCTTGTGGACACCAGATAAGCACTGTGTCCAAGCGGTCTGTGCGGCTGGGAACCTTTTAATTATGAGCCACGAAACGAACAGAAACAAACAAAAGTACATCGTCCAACGAATGTTACGCAGTCTGGAAAACAACATAGGAGAAGTGCTTTAGTAAAAGAGTGCTCTTTGCTCATATCAGCAGTTCTTGACTTTATGCGCAGATTAGATCACGTTTTTTGTCAGATAAATCATGTAAGTAAAATCTGACGTCACTATCGTTTAGCCAGCAAAGGGGACGAATGTTTCTGGATTTAATGACAGTCGTGATCTGATAAGCCGTTAAGAGTACGCGCTATATCTACAATAAGAGGGGATTTCCACTGTCGCGTAATTTTACGTGCGTAAATAAAATAAAGGCAATGTATGAAAAACCGAGTGTAAACTTGAGCGAACTTCAACTCTTACGTTTACGCGGGACATTCCGTACATTACCTCTATCTTATTTACGCGCGTAACATGTACGCACGTAAAAATTACGCGACGGTGGAAATCCACCTTTAATGGCCCTATACAGAAAGTAAGAATGAATGCATACTTTCTGGAACCACTCGCTTGCAAAATGAAAGGTAACAGTTATTTGACCACTTACTTGCGGATCCGACTATGTGCCACTGGAAGATTAGCCAGATCTTCTTTCAACAGAAATGTCTTAAGGCCGATGGTAAACCGCTTAAGATAGTTTTCCCACTCAATTTTTTCCACGTCAAAATTAAAAATCTGAAAAGGGAACAAGCGTATGATAGTGAAAATAAAATCATGGGTGACAAATTGCTCCTGAATTCTTGCGCAAAATTTCAGCGTTGAATCCACATGTGAAATTACGGCAAAATTGCTAAGACAATTTTACGTTTGTACCAGATGGCGTCAAGGTTTAAAGATAGCACGAATGAAGATGTTAGGGCACTTAAAGACAATAAGGAGTACAGGTCTAAACACAGGAAGGAGCACAAATTTTATCAACAAGGATTCTAGCGGGTATTTTAGCAAAAAATTCGGAAAATTCTGAATATTTAATGTATGTTTTAAACTTTTCAGTACTTGGAGTTTTCGATACCAACAAGTCAAAACTCACGATAAGCGTTATTGTCACCCATGACACAAAAAGGTAATATACTGGTGAAATCAAGAAATGATTTCACCTGCATTTTGTCAAAATTCTTATAATTTCACTCATAACCATTTCTTTACACACACTAATATTATTATTTGTCACAACAACAAAGAAAACTGCTTTGGCCGACTAACCTCTCGGTCCTGTGGACTCATGTCCTGTATCAAACCGCGATAATTCTCCATTGAAAACTGCAAATCACAGCAACATTCATTTCGTGAAAACATATTCAGCAACAACAAGAACAAAGCTAGGAAGACAGAGCATTTTTCAGTCGAATAACTTAAAATCAGTCGAAACTAATCGCTTTAAAACGGCCACTCCACGTACAGCCGCTTGAACTCTTCATTCAATAGAACATAACCGTAGGCCCGCGGGTGTCGGGTTTAGGGACGCTTCGACTGAACTTTGTCTCGCCAATCACAGTTACAGAAGATAATCAAATGAACCAATCAGATATTAAACCAAGGACGTGTCCCCGGCGAAAAGCGCGGAAAAAAGCATACCAGCAAGTCACGACCGGTTTTAAACTCAAAAAGTGGCGCCCAAAAATTGTCACGAAGGGTTTAGGATGCGTTCCTTTGGGATGATTCGTATTAGAATCAGTGATCCGAGGTTACTCGAATCATGGTAAATCAAATGAACCAATGAAAGTCTTTCAAAAGGATTAATTTATCGTCTCCTTTGATGTGCTATAATCCGATCGATCCGATTACTGAGCCTGTTCCGGGTCATTCCAGCGGAACGCCCCCTTAGTTGCATCAAAAGGAACTGTGGCGCAGTGTCGGTGGGGAGTCAAACACAAAATTTGATTTTATTAACGAAGCTATCAAAATAAATTTATCACCGAAAAAAAAAAAGATTCAAAAGCTGACATTTCGAACTTAGCTAGCCTGCGAATACGGCCGTCTCTCCTAGGGCCGTTTTTTTTAAATCTTTTAGGTCCCAAGAGTGACCAACATAAATTTTCTCCCAACAACATCAGCAGATCATCGAGTAAAGGTTATGAGAACTACTAAATTGATTACCAAAGGGAGAATACTTTGATCTCCAACCAAATTCTCTCCACTATTCTTAAAAGAAATGTATGGACATTAGTGTAGAGAATCTGTATGTAGATCTTGGGGCTTAAAGGGTTAAGGGGAACAAGGACAGGTGGCGGTATTTTTTCGCAGGCTAAGCGTAATTCTTCGTCACAGCGAATTGTGCGGGATTGTGCGTGGTTTACGTATCGAACGGTGGAGCTACGCCATTGGTGGGAACATAGAAAAAATAAGTTGAATCAACCACAAAGTGAACCAATGAATGTTTTAAAGTAATACTGTCAAACCTCTTTAATACGGACACCAAAGGGACAGAACCAAGTGTCCGCTTTACAGAGGTGTCCGTATTATAGAGTGTTTTCACATGACGTCACGGCGGCCATATTGGTGTCCCAAAACAATGAAACGGCGGCCATGTTGGTGTCCTAAACCAGTCCCCTGGGAGTTGAACTCTTTTCTTATGCAAACTCTTTCTTTTGTTACAATAAATTTGTAGGTATGCTGGCCACGTGAAAGAAAACACTCTATAGAGGTAATGAATGTACGATTTTTGGCATTTCTGGGACCAAACGAACCGTCCGTAACAGAGAGGTGTCCGTAGGGAGAGGTTAAACTGTAAACCCAAGATGATATTTGTTACCTCCCAGCTTCTTGTTGTAAAGTAGATCAAACTTCTGGTGGCTCTCTCCAGTTTTCCATAAAGCTTATTCATCCTGTACATAATAATAAAACAATTCGCTGTTGTATGAAGTTTTTCAATAGTCGTTTCACCCTTCAACGCAAGGAGCCCATTTTTAGCTCCCTTTCACAAGACGTTTCTGCTAAATCATAAAATTTAAGTCGAGCGTAATAGAGAAGAGAAGTGATGACGTCAGATAAATTAAGGAATATAAATAGGTTATGCTCTGATGACTCCATATAAATGCCTAAGTAATTTATACCTTACGAAAGCACGAAGACGACGGCAACGGGGACAACACACTAGGGAGCTTTAGCATCGACGAAAGAGAAATCAAAGAAAGACTATCGTCAACTCGTGGGTACGTTGTTTAGAAAATAATCAATTAGTTATCACCTCTGGTTTTCCCACAGTGAATTTGATAGAAATTCAGATTATAAATATACTATCTTTGTTCTGGAAAAACAATACTTTTCTTGCTGTTTATTGCACTTTAGTAACAGTTATTTAAGTATATATTTAAAAACAAAACAAAAAAACCCAGCAAAAAAAAAATAAACAAACAAGACAAAACAAAAAAGAAAAAAAAGGAAGAAGGGAAAAAAAAGGCCTTTAGCAGAATTTGAACCCGGTACCTTCGGGTTTACCCGACCTCACATAGCCACTACGCCACGAGGATGGCCGCATGAGTTGGCGAAAAGTCTCAAGTTTAATGCCTTTTCCATGGAACTTCCGCCGGCAAACGACCGGGGAAAACGATCGAGCCATACTTAACCGATTGAAAAAACGACTCGAAGCAATCGGATGAAATTAAGGCTAATTGAAACCAGGCTACTGACAGTAAAAAACAATGTAAACGCATTTCATGGCAATGAAAGAACATCTGCGATACAAAGCCGACACAACTCCTCCGCGAAGTAGGACGCAAAACATTAGCTTATGTTTTCTTATCTCGATTTCCGCTGTTATTTTAAAGGTAATGCTCAAACTCACATTCATTTCTCCCCGTGATCTTGGGGAGTCCTTAAGAAGAAGAAGAAGAAGAAGAAGTGCCTTTATTTACCATAAATTTTACCAGTCCGTATTTTATAGTCCGTATTTTATACCCAGTCCGCAGTCCGTAGTCCGTGTTTTATACTGACCGCCATAAATTCATTCATACACATAACCCACTACACTACTACAAGGTAGTCGAAGAGCAAATGCTCATCTTCTCGTCAAGTTTAACGCCTGGACGGGTCAAAGGCTTTTGAATCGTACTAATTTGAAAGATTCCTGCGTGTCATGAATTTGGTAAGACCTCTATCCTAACCGTGCTGTAGCGCACGATGCACACTCTCAGCGAGGAATTTAATGCTACCGAACTTCGGCGAGCGCGTGCTTCTTTGGAAACGATAGATCTTCGCGCTCTCGAGTATTGCTTTTTTGACGTTCTCGGTGCCGTGGCGGTCTAACAGGCTTAGGAAGCAAACACAACTCCGCACGTTTACGATGTGAAACGCTCAAATTTTTAAAGGGAACGGCAAGGCGAGAAATTTTACTATCTCTGTCTGAACTCGGACGCGGTCCCTTCTCTTCAGCTCCAACCTAAAATTTCCCTTCTTTTAAGTAACTGAGCGAATTCGATAAACCGCGAAAAAGGTGAAAGGATACGGAGTCTATTTTATAGCGACGTATTCACTGGGATCGCCGTTGTAGGATCGTAAGGTCTAGCGAAACTTGTATTTTACTTACGCACACACAAAAATGAAATTATCACAAATTGTTACCTCTTGTTTTATTTTAGTTTTGATTTGTTGGTAAAAGACGAAGTTCGTGACGTCCAATTCGGACTCAGTGTAGTGATACGATGATTAAGCAAAACCCTCATTAATGTTTCTTAATTACTCGTACGATTGCAGACCGAATAGGCCATTTCCGAGTTGCACCGAGGCCTCTGTTTCAAAGCGAGGCTAAGTACAAAACTACCTTTGTATTGATAAAGTGGAAACCCGTTAATACGGTCACCAATGGGCCAAAAAAATTCGGCGGTATCAACGGGGAAGCCGTTTTAACGAGGGTTTTTTTTTTTTTCAAGGAAATGTAGGGTCGTTTAACCGGGCAGCCAAAAAAAGTGGCTGTAATAACGAGGTGACCATAAGGCGGGGCTCCACTGTATACATTTTATCACACAGAAAATATACATTAACTTAAAACTTTTTGCAACATATGTACGCTAGACTTCATATTATTAGTAATTAAGAAAAAAAAAACCAAACAAACGAAGACAAGTAAAATGTAATATGCGAAGAGGAAAGCTACAAACTGAACTCAAGTTAATTTTTCATTATATTAATTAATACATGAATTTCAACGTAATGCCGAAGGGGGGGGTGGGGAACAGTTAATGAAGAACAAATTAAAATATGTCAAGAAGAAAAGCTAGAACTAAAATAGAATTAATTTTTCACCTTATTAATTAGCGCATCAACTTCAACAAAGGAATCTTCAGATTCTAGAATTTTGACAAGATTTTCCTTAACATATATTTCTAATGCTGGAGTTTTGTAGTATGGCCAGCGATGTGCTTTAGTCTAAAGCTACGTGCAAACGGACACAAAAACTCCCAACATTGTTGGTCAAATGGCGACTACACTCACTTTGGCCGCTGTCCAGCGCAAAATGACGTCATGTCTGCGATAAACGCTGGAATTTTATGACTGATGTAACACCAGTAGGAGTGCATTAGCCTGCAAAAAAGGACAAAAAATTAGCTAACCTTAATAAAAAGAACTGAAAACTGTTTTCAGGTTTACATGATCAAACAAATATCAAAGACCTCGCACAATAAACCTGTCACTTAGTTACACATGCAGTGTTCGTGTAGATCAGCAATCATTTGTGAATTTTGTGACAACGGGTAAAATAACTTACTGTGTCCAAAGCTCCCCATAATTATTATAAAAATAATACCTTTCTCATTCATTCACCGAGCCAAGCATTCGAACCAGTACTTAATTCAGAGTTGAGCTGGTGTTTAACAAAACCGCGTTAGAAGCCAATTGTTGTGCACTGTTCGCGGTAACAAGAGGTTTTGTGTATGGGTTAAGGCACCAAGTAATAACTAAGTAAAGAACTAAAGGGGCTGTGTCACGGCAGTCCAGTTCGTTTTGTTTAATTTTGCCAATTACTCGCCCTCAATCGCCATGGAACTTAAAGTAAGCAAAGAAATTACATGTAAATGACAAAATCAGAGACCCGAGACAGAGAAACGGACGAATAAACGAGAGTTACATAGTACTACTCACTTTCTTGACTCAAAGGCGAAGTTTGGCCGTCTGAAGACACCCTCAAAGGGATATGTTTGGAAACTCGCACTAACATGTGAACCTGAAATGATCACGTTGTTTCCATCAAAAGCAGCAGAATTGCCCCCGCCCGCACTTGCGCACTACGTTTAAATCACTATCAAACAAGTATATTTTATAAGTTCTTGTAATAATTTATTGTACATAAAGCATTGCCTTAAGGTGGTTCTCTTATCACTCGAAGTTGCGTAGCACCGAGAGCTATAATCTGCAAGCCGTGTTCTTCTTTGTATATAGGACGCAAAAGGGAGGTTGGGCTCCCAGGCGTTCCTAGCGGAGAACGTGGAAACTGGGCAAAAGAATCGTGACGACTTTCATTGTATACAAATTTTAGTGAGACTCGTGATGAGCATGTGGTTTATTTACGGCGATGATTGAGGTGATGCGCGTAGTTGATCACGTTCTGGCTTTTTGGCAATGACGTAATTTTCCCTGAATCAAGGCCCATGATTTTCGTGTATTCATACACGCGTATTAAAAAGCAAATACCCTGAAGAATACTCGACCGTCGATAAAGTGGGACGTGAAACAAATCCTGTTTCGTGGTGTATTGAGGCATCACGTTTCTCAGAATGTTGACGGAATTACTGGAACTCTGTGGTTAAATAGATGTATTTTATTGATAGATTTTTGCAGTTGTTAAGATGTGCAGTCGCGTTGCACTTTATAAATGCTGTAACGCACTCTACTTGCAGCACTTCATCAGTCAATGGAAACTACTAGTCTACAAATTGAACTAGTCTATTTCCATTTATTTTCGAGGTTTTCTAGTCTGGGAAATGTGTATTTATTTTTCATACTGACGTCTTCATTAATGTTTCCTTGATGTCGTAGATTTGCAAGGTCTCGATCTTTGCCTCATAGTATTGCCTTTGATTGTGGAAGATTGTTTGAAATTACACTGCATTATCGCCTAGACATCATTGGAAATTTTCACTTTAGATTTGTAAACTGTAAGGATTGAACTATAATGTTTTACCAGTTTAAGTTTAGTCTGACTATTCTATGTACCATAAAGCAGTCAGTAGTTACTGTGTAACCTATGCCTGCACACAGGCTCCTTAAGAATTTATCTCCTCTTCATTTCTTATCTAATCTCCAAGCAACCTCGAGTTAACACTTTAAGAGTGTCTTGTTAATACAGGCGCATTGAGCTAAGACAAAATTTAACGCGATGGCTACGAAACTTTGAAAAGAATTACATATATCATTCAGCAATAACACTAAATAATCCGATTTGGTATTTCTCAACTTGAATTTCGCGTTTGCCGTTTGCCGTAAACGTCACTCTAAATCTCTCTATTGTTTAAAGGCCGCATGATACGGTGACGTACTCTCCCCAGGACTTCGCACTCACGACCGACGTAGTAGAGATCGCTGTAGCTGTTTACTTAAAGTCCCTAATAAGAGACTGCTCGCGGTCTACGGTTTTGCGAGACACGAATTTCTAGTTTGTTTTACAAAATTTCAAGGACTGGTCGTCTTCTCCTTTTCCCGTTTTTTTCTACTCAAACACCGATCCAACCTTTGCATTTATTCCAAGCCATGCTAAAACAAAATTAACCACTTGATATACGGTCCCACAGGGAAGAGGAATCTCAGTAGAAACGTTGAGAACACTGAGATTCTTGAGAGAAGAATCAACTATTTCTTATATTTACTGTTAAATGCAATGCTTACATATTTCTCCCCAGGTGCATCCATTCAACAATCCCGTTGTAAGATGATAGATTGGGATACCTGAATGCCTACAATGAAAAATTACAGTTCAGTTAAAGACACGCTTATCTACATGTATTCCACAATACGACCAAATAAGAGGACCCTCAACTCAGAAAGGTCAGCAATTCTCACTTTTTAGTGACTCTGTGCCAGGCAATGGCGAGCATCATGTTAGCAGAGAAATCTACAGGGATTATGTCTGCCACAGCATTGAGTTCACCCATCATTGATCGCAACATTCCTTTTCCAGCCTAAACAAAACAAAAACAAGTGATGTTACAAGTAAAAATCAAGATCACTAAAGCATCAGTCCCAATTGCTTTGTGGCTGAAGAGCAAAATCTATCACAGGGCTGTGACTAAGATTTAAGGTTGTCACGCACATACAATATTGGTAGGCAGGGAATCGAACATTTAGGAACATCTCCTGTTGTTTCCTATGAAAAAAGCCGAAGGTCATGCTGATGGTAGTCACGGGAAATGCCCAGCCACTGGGCCTTGGTGACAACTCTGCTATCATTCTAGCACATTCAAATGAAAGCCATTGTCAAGAAGTTCCTTAAAGAACTGTATTATTATGTTCAAAGTGTGAAGCATTAACCCTTAAGTGTGAACATTCACATTAATAAGAGAAAAAGTACTTTCCAGTGGAGCCAAGTGTGGGTTAAAGTCTTTGATATAATACTATAGTGTTAAAGTCACACAGATCAAAATCACTGTCCAGTGAAAGTTTTGGTACTTGGTCTCAATTTGAGAAACAAGGTCACAAAATGCTAGTATTCCTGGCAATTGTAAGTCCTGTCAATCAGCGAAATACTCTATAAATTATCATCATGCAATCAGAGAGATTTAAGGCAGGCTGGATCAGAGTTTCACTAGTACTTACAGCAACAAAAAGTCCACTTGGCCCGTTGAAATTATCAACCCACCCCTAAAAAAGAATATTAAGTAAGGCCTCAGCTCAGAGCCTTGCTAGGGTATAAACAGGTCATGTTAAGATACCATATTCAAGATGCTACCAACATGCAAAAAAAGATACTGGTTGTAGGAGTACTTTGTTGTATTTAGTGAATTCAAGTACCAAATACTTTGAAACAACTATTGCAGAATAAACCATCTTTATGTCAATGTTGTCATTTTATCACTACCAGTATGACCAGAATTCTTCAGGGTTTGCTTTCTTTCACAAACTGTAGCTTTTGTTATTTAAATCTCACCAGGATTACCAAATAAAACATGAAAGGAAAAGTGAAAAAGGATCCTAGTAGTCACATTAGGATGATTAAAATCATTAAAATTTTATTTCTGGGGGAAAGTAGCCAGTCATTTATCCCACAAATCCTCATATATATGCTATGTTTGACTCATTTTCAAACTCAGAGTAGCTGGTTGATTTTACTACTACAAAAGCCCACTGCTGGCTGTGAATGACAGCCCTGCATCTTGCAAATGGCCTATTAATTAAAATAAGGCTGCCAGATCAACAAGAAATTCTTAGACTTCTGTAAATTCCTCCGTACATGTATAGGTAATAGCACGATTTGTAGTGATATTTGGTATAAATACCACGAGTGATATTTCAAAATTGTTATACGAGCCATTAGGCGAGTGAAATTTGAGACAATTTAGAAATGTCACCAGTGCTATTTATGCCAAATATCATGTACAAATCATGCTGTTATTTGTTTATACTAATACCGGCAAAAGGTTTGTAATTTTCACATTTAGATATTTCAAATTAAGCTGAAATGCCACTGCTCTAAGCAAATCAAATTGCAGAAATTTCTGTAGTATAAACAGTGGAACCTCAATATAACAAAGGGCCAAGGGACGGCAAAAGTTGTTTGCTACATCGAGGTTCTTTTTCATATATTTTACTGTTACAGGGGTGAAGAAAATCGTTCGTTGTTTCGAGGTCTTCATTATATAGAGGTTCGTTACATGGAGATGCCACTGTATCTCACAAAGCTAATGTGACACCTCATATTCCTGGGAAACAGACAGTGATAAGTGCCCCCCACCTCAAAAGGTTCCTTCCATGCTGCACCAATGATTGACGGCCTAAAAATTGCAATGGGAAAATTGTCTGCCTCCTGAAGCAACACATGCTCAGCCAAGCTTTTGGTAAAGGTATACGTGTTAGGTCGCTTGCCGATTAAATGTGGTGTAAGAGCATTCACCATGTTATTATCCATCCAGCTGTTCAAAATGAAAATATTACAATAATAAACAAAAGAACAACAATAAACATTTCATTAATATTGCCGTAAGAATCTTATGCACTTAATGTCTAATACAAAGGATTTCACTTGTGGGCAGCTAGCCTGAGAAAACAGATGACATTTTGTGATGCCACTAATGGTTTCCCCACAAAATAACATCTGAGAAACAGGGCTCAAAATTGTGACTGATGTTGTTGCCAATGCAACTAACAGTTTTTCCTTGGCAGCTAAAAATTCTAGTTTAGTTGCCATGCTGGCCACCAGATTTCGCTATGATTTAGATTTAAATTAACAGAGTAAAGTAAAAACAAACACTTCATCTTATCGTGCTTTGCTTTCGTTATAAAAAATGTGCCAAATTGCATAAACAAAGCCAGTTTACCGCCAAATTTAAACCGACTTCTGTCCGCCATATTTTCAACCAATCAAATCTGATGGATCGCACCAAACTATGAGCTGCTTTATTTACATTGTACAAACTGGCAACTAAAAATTTGCATCTGGTGACTATATTTCTCCAGTTGGTCGCCAAAAGGCGACCTGAGGATTTTTTTTATTTTGAGCCCTGAGAAACGACTGCAGAAATTCCATACTGAAGATGCGTCACTACCCAGATCTGGGTAGTAAAATAGTCTAATAATTATGTTATTTACTTGTGGTGACCTCCTTGTAAGGCAATGTCAAATCCTGTTTGACGTTTTCCCCAGTTTTCTTAAATACAATATAGTTTCTTGTATTTTTATAACTGAAATTTATTAAAGGCTTCTGATTAGATGAAGCAAATTTTCAACCAGTAAGAAGCACTACCCAGATGTGGGCAGTGTTGTGTCATAAGTATGGAGTTTCTGCACGGGTTTCTCAGACGCCGTTTCATGGGGAAAACAGTGGGGGCGTCGCAAAATGTCAAGTTTTTCCTCTGGCTAACACGTAGCACAAATAACAGATTTGAGAAACGACAGTTTGGGTGATCAAGTCCTCAATTATCAACTCATTGAAAAGAGATTGTAATGGAAATTCACAAGGGAGATATCAGGTCTTTATTTTATCAGGTGTTTTGCTACACTGTAGTAAGATAAAAATGACACCCAAAAGCTCTGATTTCAACTGTGTCCAGCGTTTCAGTGTTATGCAAAAATAAGATTTTCTTTGACAGCGAAAGGCAATAAAGCACACTGCCAGGGAATACAAGGCACTCACTGGTATAGCACAGCCCTAAACAATTCCATTTTCCTTTAGAGATTTGGGGTAGAAAAGATTCATAAAGAAGTGTTTGGACAGCATGGTCATGCTGTTACACTGTGATTGAAGCGAAATAGTCAGAAGTATTTCATACCCAATGGAACTAGTAAGCTTTTCTGGATCTACAGGTGGAGGGTATATTCTTTCTTCAATGGAGTCTTGGTCACAGTTTGCATATGCAGTTGATACATGCACCAAAACCTATCGTGATACAAATGATCACAAAAAAATGCGTTAAATAAGATAATGAAACAAATAAATGAGAATCTACTATAGCAAATGGAAAAAAAAAGAAGTCAAAATCAAGCATATATCTGCCACTTCTTAACTGCATCAAAATTATACAAAAAATATTTTAAAGTGCTTTGGAATGTCTAAAAATCAAAAACCCAAAATTTTCTTTCAAAACAAGCTACATAGCAGTGCTGATCAGAATACTTTTGGAATTTAATTGCTTTTTTAATCTTCAAAATGTAGCAAAAAAGTCGAATTCATTTCAATACAAACTAGAGGTGGGCTTATATTCATGGGGAGGGTGCTTATAACCAGATGCACTTTTTTGTTTACAGGTAGGTAGGCTTTTAAATGGGGGCACTTATAAGTTGGGGGGGGTATGTAATCCAAAGTTTATGGTATGTATGTTCATGTATATCCAACAGATTCTTGGATCATAATCTAAGAGAGTCTACATGACAGAATTAAAAGGACTTTTCATACCTCTAGATGTTTCATTCCCCTACACAACTTTATGACATTCTGTGTTCCATGGAGATTAAGGCGCAATGCATCCCTTGGGTGATAAATAATCTGAAAGTTAATCTCATTGCCAATTGATGAGCTTGGGAACTGGTAGTGCCTTTAAAGTTAGCAGGCTAGGGCATAAAACAAACCAGGCACAGCAGGAAGGTATTCATGGTAATCCTGCAAATGGGAACCATGCCCTTAGAAAAAATTCTACCCTGCAAAAACCATGTGAGAGCCCTGTAACATCCTGTTTCCAGCCATGTTTGCGTTATTTCAGGGCTGTAAACTGGCTGTAACAGGGCTGTGACACAGCTGCAACTTACTTGAGTTAAAACAAGTGGAGCAGTGACAGGGCTGTAAAAGTGTACATAGTTAAGTGTAACAAGCCTGTTACATGGCTGTGAAAATATCCAGTTACCATAACAGGGTTAAGACAGGGCTACCAAGTAATGCAGAAGAACTAGGACAGGGATGCAGAACGGCTGTGTTAGGTACATTTGACAGTAACCGGGTTACTACAGAGCTGTGAGATGTCTATTTCTGTTCACAAAATGGATATAATCAAAGGGCAGTAACAATGTAGCCAAGTACGGTAAACTCCATAAATCATGAAAGATGGCAATATTTTTCAAAGTCTAAAGTGTTAAAAGGAGCGAGGGTCAGCTAGATCATTAATACAAATAAAACGAAAAAGAACGTGGTGAAAATGGTAGCGCTAAATCATCAAACACGATTATTGTACACCTTTTAGTATGCTGTTTCTGGTTTTGTTTGGATTTGCTTCGTTTTTTTCTTTTTCTGTTTTTTTTTCATAGATACTTACATCAATTAATTACCGATGTTGTGGCTACCTTTGTAGTTTGAAGTTGCTTTCTTTTCAGACTCTTATCTCATGTTAAAAACGCAGACCTTCTTATGATTTCATCAGCTCCTGTTCTTCCTGTTCTTTTAAATAATAAAAAAACCCGCTGTAACTTAATTTTTTACAGCAATGTACTAAAAATGAAAGACTTTGAGATCACTTCAATTTGTTTTCCTACCCGAGAAACCTCTGCAAGCATGGAATTAAATATTTTCATTCCGTGACAGACACACGCCATCAGTAATTCCCTGGAGAAATCCAAGACCTTAATCTTATTGGTCAGCACTTTTACCGGAAGATCGCATTACACCTCTCCATTCCTGAAACGACTCACGATTATTTGAATGAAAGGGGAAAATATTCAAACGCTTTCTGCATCCAGTTTGGATTGAAAAAGGCTGTAGAGCATTTTTTGCTGCTTTTGAAGCAGAGAGTGAAAAAGTATTAGCAAAAAAATAACTGTGCTTTGACCAACTCTCAACGAATGGGAAACAGATCGATCTAGTGGACAGAAAACATTCCTCGGCACTTGCAAGATTCAAAGATTGTTTGCCCTGCCTAGTAATAATGCAAGTTCATTTCGTACACCATTGAACAATTCAGCAACAACTGAAACACAAATGGATTGGCTCTTTTCATGAGGAAATGCAACACATTGTGGATCATGAAGGAAAGACGATCGAGGTGAGCGATTTCAAATTAAGCTTGTTGCAACCCAAACAAAAGAATTATTATAAGTGTCAACCTCGGAACCGTTATTACAATGGAACAGTTCCGCGTTTTATCTCTAAATAATTGCTGACAAAAATCGTTTTTTTGTTTTTTGAGACAGTTATTGTAAAGTCGGCATTTTGATGTGCTAGTTGTAAATTAAATCGAGCAACTATGACCAAGTATTTACAAGCCAGATCAGACTGTTGTATGCAGTTCAAATTTTGTTCTGTTTATATTTTTACACACTGTAACATGGGCACGTGAAAAATAAAGTAACGTTAAGTTCTTTATTGACTGTATTTAGTGTTTTCCTTTATTGAAAGTGTTCTTTCAATGCATGTTTGTTGAAATGCATTGCTTTTGTTTTAAGTACTTTGTGACTAAACGGACTAAAACAGCCGTTGGTACTTCAACTTTGAAGCTTTTTGTGGCGCAAATCGTTCCTTTGCTTCAGGAATTTTCATGAGTTCAAATACGCCTAAAAAAGATGAAGTTTCATCTTTAATAGATATGAAGTTATAAAAAATGATGTTCTGATAGTACTATAATCCTAATGTATAGAAGTTAAACGGCTGCTGTCTAAAGTGTAGATTGTGTGAGATGGAGTATCACAACATTGGCACCTGGTAAAAAAAACAGCCTTGTTAACTGCCACTTAACAAGTTGTAACAGGGTTGTGATGCATGAAACCTGTACCAAGGCTGTTAAAGGAATGCCACAGTGTAAAAACAGCCTTGCTAACTGTGCTAATTCACGAGCTGTGGCAGGGATGTCCATCACAGGGTGGAAACAGGGTTGTAATATGGCTGTTACAGGGCGTCTACCAAGAAATTTTGAGTTAAACGTGACAGGGCTGTTCCAAGGCTGCTACAGTGTAGAAACAGCCTTGCTAACTGTGCCAAATGACGAGCTGTAACAGGGTTGTCACATGTTAGTTTTACAACCCTGTTCCAGTGATGCTACAGAGCTGTTACAGGGTAGAAATTTTGTTAAGGGTGCCTACAGCAGCTCCTGCTGGTATCATCACAGTGGAACCTGATCCAGTGGAAGAGACTTACCCGACCAGATACTTACCTAACACAGACAGACCCACCTTGGGGAAGAGGAGGGTGGGGCAAAAGGAATCCACGACGATTTACAAAAACATACAACAGATTCGCAACAAAAGAAAAAATAACACACTAGAAAATTATGCAATGTATATGCTTTGCTTCACTTTATCTTTGGTTTAATTTTAATTCTTTTTCATTTTTGGGTATGGCGATAATGATGAGTGCTCGAAAGAAAAAAAAATTGAATTCCAGCACGTCCTTTGGGCAAGCAGCTCTCTCATTTTGCTTGCCCCGGGCAGCTACAATACTTGATTTTCTTACATGTCAGGTGATTACACGAGACAATTCGCAGCGACGATTTTCAGTGCAACACAGCATTGCAACGTTATGTGACATTGTTTGGAATAGTTACAACATTTTTCCAACATTGTAACACTGTGTTGTGCTAAAAATTGTTGTTACAAATTGTTCTGCGTAACATCACCTTTAGGTAATGATTTAGTTAGAGGATGACTTGTCTGGACCTTTGTTCATTGGGCAAGTGAGCCTTAAGAGTTTACTTGCCTAACAAGAAAAACTACTCGTCCTGGACAAACAGACAACAGGATGGGAGTTTTTTCAAGCCCTGATGATAATGATTTCGAAACAGAAGAAAATAAAAATTAAACCAAAGATTAAACCACAACCACAACCACAACATATACACCCTGCCAACCCAAGAGGTGCCCTGCAGAACATGTGCCTGGGAAGAACAGACAGTGATGGCTATCTGTTCCGAGTTTTTGAAAACATACTTTAATAGATCAGTTTCGATATATTAAAATTCACACTTAACTCCGAGACTTGCGGAAATAAAACAAAAGAAATCATCTCGAGGCTCAGAAATGGATAATACACTTCTTTTTGTCTTATTTCCCCAAGCCTCGGGAATATATCAAAAACGGTCTTTTTGCTTGCTCATCTGTTTGGATCTGATCAGTTCAAATGGTTCACAATGATCAATTAAGTGCACTTTACTATGAAGAATTTATTTTAATTTTTTCAATCAGTTCAAGACAACAGACAAAAACACTCACTTCAAATCCTCATCAAATCTAACAGTTGCTGCAGAATGGAAGACCACTTCGACACCCTCTTGCAGCATTTTCCAATCTTCATCAGAAATCCCAAGATTTTCCTCTGCAATGTCTCCTTCAACAGGTACAATTTTTCTTTTCCAGTCATCACCCATTTCTCTTACTCTGTCAAAAACCTGTTTAAAAAGGAAATTATTACACTTGAAAAGAACATAATTAAGAGATTAAAATACAGCTCACACTCCTACACAGACCTACAGATACAAGTACATGAGGCTATTGCATTAAGTCTGTCCCCACCTCCACCCCCACCCCCCGCCCCCGAGGTGGACTTACCTTTTCTTCTAACCGCTGCAGATTAAAATTGCATTCAAAATTGAGTTAAATTTTGGGATGCGCAGGGTTTTACTTGTAAAATCGCAATGAAAATGTCACACATGCAGTTCTTTTGGACACCAGAGATTTTAACTCATACTCATGAGAATTTTTCAACATCCATCATTAATTTTAGAGTAGCTAAACCGGAATAATATTTTATTATTACCTTCAGCATTACTGTTGTATTTGCTTAGGTCTCTTAAAGATATGGGTTTTTGAGGGAATTCCTAGGCGACACTCGATTCCTCTATGAAGCCTGTTTTCGGGAGTGTCCTCCAAGAGAGGTCTGGATTGCATATATAAAAAGTGTCACCATTTTTGTCTAGTCCATTCTCCTCAAACCATTCCTCCCTCTGCCTCAATTTATCTCCTTAATAGCTATTTGCTGGTGGGAAAATTATGTATCACAAGCAGTCTCGTCTCAAATATATCTGTTGTTGTTTGTTGTTTTTGTTATCAAGCAATATTAGTGAGCCAATGCTGCATCTTATGAGGAAAATGCCGTATTATTTGCAGACATAGGGGAAATTTTTTAAAAGCACAATATTTATTAAAATAGCCACATGCCTTAAACCAGGGTTTCCTGAACAGTCAATTTCTAGTCTCAACAAGACATTCCTGTCCAGACACCAACTTCTAAACAACAGTCAACTTTGATCTCAAGGATTATGCAACTTAATAACAGAATTTATACACTACACAAAAAAATGTAAATTAAACGAGGGGACAAAATTGCATTGTGCAAAGAAAGTCGTGTCCGATAGCCTGGAGCTAGTGGATTTTACTATCAGGCTAAAGTTTTTTGAAGAAGTTACCGGTAAATTTATTACAGAATTTATTACGGAAGAATTGTGAAATCAATTCTCCTCATCAAAAAGTTTTTGGGGCTGGTTGAAAAGACATTTGGGCTAATAAACACTAGCTTAGGCTTGCCCAAAGGGCAAGCTGTAAAACTGACTTTCTGTGCACCATGAGATTGACACAGTTGAATTTTCTTCACCTATTATAGCCGCAGGTCAAAACTTTGTTTCAATCATTGCTATATGCCTTGACTCTTCAACATAACAATTTATTCATGCTGAAGAACCATGGATAGAGTGTTCTGATATTGGATACCAATAATATTACCATAAAAATTTTGCAAATTTTGGCTTTGAATTTCTTCAAGAATATATTATAACAAGCTCATTTGTGTGGCCACATCCAACACTTTCTTCAGTGTTTCATCTGAATATCCAGGCAGCAGAAAATAATTGCTCCTAAAAACTTCGGTTTGTAACTTCTGGATTACGGATGAAACACTGTGTTTCATGCTTATTAAATTACTGAGTAATATGAACTGAACTAAGAAGGAAAAATTATAAAGTGGATTTCAGCAGCATAAGTATTCTAATAACAAACTCAGAACTTTACAAAAAGGCTAATTTTTCCTTAGTGTATTTTGAACCTTTCTTGTCTTGGCACAGTACATTTTGTAGAAAAGCATTAAAATAATATTATGGTCTAAGCCCAAGGCAATGAGACACAAACATAAAATTCAATCACTTATTCATTTTATTTGAACTACCTGAACAAATACTCACATTAGTCTGCAACAGTTCATCAATACGCTGTTGAGGTTTTACGCCACGTCTACTTCTTGTCAAGAGGTAAATTTTCTTCACTGATGGACATGCCCACAAAAGTTTCTCTATCATAATTTTACCGAGGAATCCTGTACCACCAGTTACGAATAGGGTCTTCTCAGCAAAGAACTCGCTTATAGACATCACATCTTTAGCTTCAGCCATCGCTGTTCCAATAAATCCACTGTGACTGAGCTTTAAAGGAATGCTTTGGAAGCTAGTTAAATTTTGTCCAGACACTGAGATCTTCTATTGACAAATCAGTGTACTGCCAAATCACCTGAAGTATAAACATAACACAATGTCTGAAAACTGTGGCCTCTAATGGTAAAGTAAGTTAACATGCAGTCATAACTCAGTGACCAATATGCAGATTGGAAATAAAAAACCAGCATGTACACATACAAAATCCAGTACACTTTAGGTAAAATCTGAACATTGTTAGGTTAAAGTAAAGCAGTATTCAACTTAGTTTGATTCAGAATTAATATTATTAGCAGGTACCTTGCCCTGATGATAAGTAAATCCTGCTTTAACCCGAGAATGGATTTTACCACAATGATTTGTTACCTCTGCATCCTGCGCCCCTGATTCATAAAAATCCTTAAGGATGCAATTCAATAATTCATGGCAGACGCCCCACAGGATGCAAAGATCAATTGATTGATCCATGTGTTTTTGTAAAAAATATCCTGTTTGTGTAATTTCTGTGGCAGTTAATATGGGTTTTGTTTAAAGATGCATATTTCTTTTAGCCTTTGTTGTGCTTTAAAATAGAAGGACTATACTTTAATTTCAGTACACTGTAGTAAAGAGTTTTGGAGTCTGCCTTCAGATTAACTGTCTCGTTAGATAAAGGCCCAAGCATAATTGGATTCGCTGTTTTCTTAACTGGGACATTTTGTACATGGTTCTGGACTGGGACTCATAATTTTTCACAAAATGCATCCCAGGACTCACCATAACTATTTGTAACAAAATCACTGTTGCCAACAATATAAAATTACTGTCTCTACAAAAAAAAAACATGGTTTAATTCATCAACTTCCTAGTTTTCAAAAATGTTCTTGGTCAAGGGAAGTACATGTATTATTGTTTTTAATATCATAGGTGACGAATTACTCCTTAATTTTGGCACGAAATTTCACCGTTAATTTGTAATTTCACATGTGAAATTACAAAATTGCCATGGCAACCTAACGTACGTCTCAGTGTCAAGATGGCGACAAAGTTTTAAAATGACATGAATGAAAACGTCAGGGCACAAAAAGACGCTTTAGAAAACCTGAACACACGAAAGAGCACATCAAGAAGGATTCTAACAGGTATTTTGTCGGAAAACTCTGAACTTAAGCCAAATTTAAGCTCTAAACATTCGAGAGAGTGCGGGAGTTCTTGATCGATACGATCCAGGATAAACATGTCAAAAATCCAAGATAGCTAACGTAATTCGTCACCCATGGTATTAAAAGGTAATCAAATGGTATACTCGTGAAATTAGGGAATAATTTCACTTGCGTTTTGTCCAAATCCTAATAATTTCCCTCACCTAAAGGCTTGGGAATTATAAGGATTTGGACAAAACACGCGTGAAATTATTCCCTAATTTCACTTGTCACCATTTGATTACACATACATATCCACCATTCCTTTCATAAAGCATGCTTTCTCTGCCCAGGACAATATTTTAATTACTTATGTCTTTATTCTATCTGTTTATTTTCTTTATCCAAATTAATCAATTGGAAGCTTCTTTTACAGATTCTGTATTCCGCATTCTGGACTCCGTGTCCAGATTCCATGTTTCAGGGCTGCCGGTTTACAGAGTGATAAGCACCAGCCTATCACGCGTCCAACACGAGTTTTTTTTTTGGCTCAGCGACCAAAACAATAAACTTTCTCACCCAATTTTTAAGTTATGATGAACGTAAAAATTTTCGTTATCATTTTAGATGATTAAAGAAGAAGAAGAAGAAGAAGAAGAAGAAGAAAAAGTACGACAGAAAATGAAAGCTTAAAAAGGCTCGCAAATCAGTTAAATAAAGTTCTACATGATCAAATTTTGGCACGTAGACAGAAATACAGAACGCTCGCCAAAACAATCATTGTAAAATTCTTAAAAGGTATCTATGGATGTAAATCGTGTTCAGTTTATTCTCAAGAAACAAGACAGCGAGACAGTAAGCTTATTCATGCTGCAAGCGCATGGTAAATTAATTTCGCAACAGTCCGGGAGCTCGTTCAAAGATTATTGCTCCATGCCAAGCTTTCAAACATTCAATAAATTTTCTGTGTTAAGCGACTGGTTTAACTAAATTTTATTATCCTTTCAGTGACATGAGTTTCCTTATTAAACCTTACAAGCACATGTAACAACTAGGCTTTAGCTAAAAGACCAGACAGCATGATTTCGTAACAAGTTCAACTCTGTCACACTCACCTGAGCACTCAGCGGAGCATTAATACGTGGTCAAAAAGACTTCTTAGCTTCTAAGTTTTGGACATTCCAAAAACTCAAACATCTTGCAGTTTGTAGAATGAGAAAGCAGTGCTCTCAGCCAATCTCCTATGCTGCAATTAACTCATAGAAACAACAAATCGTTCCAGCCGTGAATCTGCCCGCCAAGACTCGTACCCAGTAGCTATTTATGGGTTTTGAGGGTGAGAGGAGATTGGGGGCAACCACCACTCCAGAAAAATACCATAGCCATAAAGCTCTTTGTTTGTCACCCCAAATTTTGCATAAGCATTGTTTTCAGTTTCTCTTGGGGCCATTTTAACTCCCAAGAGAAACTGAAGACAATGCTTATGTAAAATTTTGGAATGACAAACAAAGAACATTATGGTATATTATGGTATTTTCTGGAGTGGTCAATAGGCTCTTTGCACGACTTGATCACGTGACCAACTGTCGGTAAACACGAAAACAGTTCACTTTTGAAAAATTTCGTTACGACAAGCTGAAAGAGCGTATTAAAATTAGGTAGCCTGAGAATTTTCAGCCGTATATCTCAAAAGTAGCGATTATAACGGCCGCCAAAAGTTAGAAGCATTTGTTTGAGAAAAACAACTTTTGCCACCCAGTCACGCTTGAATGGTTTTCCATACAAATCCTTGAAAATTCTCGTTAAATCTTTACTTTACTCATTTAAGGGCTCAAATTGCCTTTATGAATTCAAAGGAGATTGCCGAAAGGAAATATTTCATGACGGTTTTGAAAATTTCGAAATTACAAGGATTTGTATGGAAGACCATGCAAGCTAGCCTGCGAAGCGCAGACGCATTTCCGGTCGTCGCTTCTCTCCCTCCGAAAATTTTTCGGAGGGAGAGAAGCGACGACTGGAAATGCGTCTGCGCTTCGCAGGCTACATGCAAGCTTGACACTGGCTTGACTGGATGGCAAAAGTTGTTTTTCTCATGCAAATGCTTCTAACTTTCGGCGGCCGTTGCAGTCACTACTTTTGAGATATACCGTGTAGCATGAAAATTCCGCGGGTTCTAATTTTTGCGAATTTTGTGTCGATTTGTGGATTGACCTCGATCCGCAAAAATTAGTTCCCGCAGAAAAAAAAATCCCGCAAAATAAAACGCCGCAAAAATTAACTCCCCTCAGTCAAATTAAAAACTCTGCTTTTAATGGACTTGTTGTGTATGGTAGGGATAGGCTTTTGTTTTGTTTTGCTGTTGTTCTGTCCCTTTGTGCAGTAAGATATTGCAGTGATTACCGTATTATTCTCCATTAAATATGTTAGTAGAGTGAACTTTGACTCAACATACCGTAAACTCAAAGTTGAAAATACCATATTAAGGTTTCAGTTCCACTTAAATATTCTGCTACTTGAACAGAGAATGGCAAAAATTAATTCCCACCAGAAATTTCAGTCATCTCGAACCGCAAAAATTTGTTCCCGCAAACCACAAAAAATCGCCAATCCGCAAAATAAAACTCCTGCAAAATTTTCATGCTACACGGTACGGCTGAAAAATCTCAGGTTACCTAATTTTAATATGCTCTTTCAGCTTGTGCTAACAAAAAATTCTTCCAAAAGTGAACTGTTTTCGTGTTTACCGATGGTTAATCACGTGATCAAGTCATGCAAAGAGCCTATTGAGGGGTTAGGTTAAGGCGCGCGCGTGGTCTCATGGGAACGGACTAAGGGCAAATAGCGTCCGTTTCCATGAGACCCCGCGCGCGTCTCAACCTCCAATCTCCTCTATGGAGAGCCAGACTCGTACCCAGTCGCTATTTATGTGTTTTGGGGGGTTATTGATTTCAAAACTGGCGAACAACAAAGTCGATCGGGGTCCGTTAAGAAGCGAAGAAATCGTTTACAGTAGATTCATAAAGATCCCATTGGGCTAATTAATTGTGCTAAGCGACAGGTATAGACATTTTTCAACGTGAGACTTTAAATAAGTACGTAATTCATTTATTCACGCGAAACTCCTCTGGACCCTGTACCAAAATACATAAATAGCGACTGGGTGTGAAGCTTCAGTTGAGCCTTCAACATTAAACATATCGTCAGCGGCTCTCCACTAAACCCAAAGGGCCTGGGTTCTAACTTGAACGCAAATTTCCATGAAATTTTTCCTTGTTGTGAGATCGAAGTTTATGGAGTTTTAAAGGTTTTATTCCACTTTTCTATGAAGCGATGTAGGGCAAAGATCTGTTTTCAAAGTCCTTTCAAATGTTTAAGCTGTCCAAAGGAGCCGTGTCATTAGCCCTCCAGAATCATGGAATGGCTTATGGGGTAAGGTGTACTCAACCGGGTTAAATTTGTTTGCTTAAAATGTCTTCTCCCACTCTTTTTTTTCGCGGTCATATTGGGTGCGGCTTGCAAGATAATTATGGAACAAGGAAGCTAAAGTAGTAGGTGTTTACTTGATACTTTTTCAACAGACAGGAAATAGGATGGATTAAATACCGGCGCGAAGTCCGTTTGAATTTGACCTTTTGAAAGCGATTGCGCGTGTATGTCTGAGCTAGTTCATTTCAAATTGCGAAATTAGAATTCAACTGAAATATCCTGAACACAGCTGATGTTTTTACGTGCATAATATGTTTACTTTTTTCAAGAAAAGGGGTTATTTAATCATCGACAAGTGACGATACAAAGCTTAAGCGTTATATACTTTTTTCTAGTGATACGTTTGTATAAGAACAGCTAACGCGGAATCAATCTGATCAATCAGCGAATTTCGATTCAATCAACGTCATCAATAAATTTTGTTGCTAATCAGTGCATTGTCTGTTATTCAGGTCTAATGTATACCAGGGCTTACGGAGAAAGCCATCACTTCATGAGTGACTTCCCACTTTAAATTTTGCAAGGTTTAGCTCTCTGAATTAAAAAAAACAAAAAAAAAAAGACAGCGGACTATTCGTTTACACATGTCGTCAATGGAGTGTGAGATTGAGAACAATAACAAATTTCACCTCCAAAAATAAATCTCTGTTTTTATGCAGACTATTTCCATTGTTTCCAACAATAAGTATGGCTGCTATGTTGTCTGTTTATTTATTCACTTATAGATAATTTTGTTTTTCTGGGGAGGAGAGGGCAGTTTCTTCATAATTGACATTTTTAGGACAGATGAATACAACAGACAGTGAGGTTACTGAGCAATGCGAGTGACTCTAACAACAATGTCTGAAGATCTCAGAAATTTGATTTCAATGCCAAAGAAAATGATCATTTTACATTGGACATGTTTACTACAGCATTGAGCTCAGGGTTTGTATTTAGGGCTGTTGAGCAGCTAAGAAGTTTGATATTAAAGCACTCAGGAATCATGACCATAATACCCAGGGAAAAACCCAGTCCATGAACCTTGGGTCGGTGAACAGCGCTAGATATATACCTCGACGCTTTGCATCTCAGTATATAATATCCACAACTACTGTGTGTATTCACCTCCCTTTCGTGGGATAGTTGTGTACTATACCTACCTTGCAGTACCGGTACATGTGTATGAGACCACTTGACATGGTACCGTGGACTCGAGACCCTTTACCCCTGATCTGCTTGGGGAGGGTCACCAAGCCTTGTTGGTATATTCTTCATCCAATATTTTGTCCACATATGAAATATGTGTTTTTTCAGCATAAAAGCTTACATTATGATATTGTATTACATTGTACATTGCATTGTACACCTTTAATGCATGATAATGCTGTTTTTATAGCAACACCCTTAAATTTATCAGTGCAAACTATTAGATAAGCTAATGCAAGAGATCTCCATTTTCATATGGATAAAGAAAACTGAGAATTACCCATGAGTACAGGTTTCTCTCTTGCTAGGCTTTTAATGTTTATGAAGTCATTTGTTGCATATCAGTTTTATGCAACTGGCATGCGACGCAAACAACTTTGTAAATGCTAAAAGCCATGCAAGAGAGAAACCTCTGCTCATAATGCACACTGAGTGTATCTCTTTTAAGCAGGAACCATTATCTGTAAAACAGGGTTCCAGGGAGTATGATCATTCATGGCAACTTTATTAATGTCCTTTATATCTGTAATGTAAACTTGTTCCTTTTGCTGTTTATAGGAAGGGGAAGAAAAAGCCTGTTGAACCAGAAGTTAAAGAAGACAAACCATATTTAGAGGAACGCTATGTAAATAGTTTCTTAAGGGAAATGTCTGAAATCCGAGAACTTGTGCCCCTTCCTCCAAGCATTGATCTGAATGAGTGGATTGCAACAAACAGTAAGTGATTAAATAATGGGCTACAATTTTGCTGTTGTTTGCATGGTTCAGCAAGGAGCTGAGATAGCTTGCTTGGTATGGGGTTTATAATGTTACATATAAAATGTCAAGCTAACTGCAAATGGATGCAACAACCCCCAACACTGCTGGATCAGCAATGTGTGGAATTGTTGTGTCCATGCTGGCAGTGGTGTGCAAAGGGATGCAACAACTCCTAACATTGTTGGGTCAGTAATGTTTGGAATTGTTGTGTCTATGCTGGCAATGGTGTGCAAAGGGATGCAACAACTCCAACATTGTTGCATCAGCAATGTTTGGAATCGTTGTGTCCATGCTGGCAGTGGTGTGCAAAGGGATGCAACAACTCTCAGCAGTATTTGGACTTGCAGTGCATTGTGGGAAGGATACAACCCATAAGACTAAGTAACAATAAATGTTGGGGGTTGTTGGTTCAACAACTGGGAGTTTTTCACCAACAATGTTGTGTCCATTTGTATGGGGCTTTATTTTTAGTCACATAATGTGAGCACCTTGACTAGCCTGCGTAGCATGGCGGTTTTGGTTGGGCGCGCCAGGTAATAAAGGCGGGCAAGGGCAGAGAAACCACGAGGAGATTGGGGCGGGAGGAACTTGAAAAACCGCCTGCACGGATGAGGGGCTTTTTTGAGTCGGTCCGTATGCCAGCATACGGATCATTCCGATTGGTTCAGAATGTTCGCCTGTCAATCAAATATTTTGGTAATCTCCCATGGGAGAGTTTCGAGGGACTGAACAAATCATCTCCGCAAAAGAAAATCAAAATATCAAAGAAGCGTTGACCGGAGCGTCGTCGATCTTGAATAATTATTTGACGGGAAAACAGGGCAATTGTATTGAAGCCTAAACAGGAAATGGCCATTTACAGTCTTCTTCAAAGGAGAGATGTCATGGAAATTTTGTCAACAACATTTGGCAAGAGCATGATCTCTACTGTCTTTGCTATGGCCAAAGAAGAAATATCCTCATCGAAAACCTGTATGATCACAATTTCCCCTCTAAAAAGTACTATAGACGACCAGATCTAAAACAAGATCTACTCAGTCAAGTTTAGAACGCAGTGTAGTCACCTATGCACGAGATAGCAACAAAGAAAAAACCTGTGTTTGTTCAAGCAAACTCCGGCCAAGGTCACGTTTTACATTATATTTATCACAAGCTTTTGTGTCATGTTTAGGCTGTCAACAATCTATTTCTGATTGGCTGGGAAAACTGAAACTAAACAAGTTGTTATCAGGATGTCAAAATGAGTTAAAGGGGGGGGGGGGGGCAGTTGAAAAGGCCACGAATCCGGGCAGGCGGTTTTTATTTTTTTCGCGACTTTGCCGCTCATTCTCGCGCCCTTCGCATGCAAATCTTGCGGCTTTGCCGCTCGTGAGTCCAGCTCGACAAAACTGCCATGCTACGCAGACTACACCTTGACCACCTAGTTAATCCACTGTCTGTTAGAAGGCCAGTGAAGGCATGACGTGGCCAAGCAGCTAACATCTCAAACTTGTACAGTCCGGAATATCCCTAAATTTAAGGACAGGGCCAACTGGTCACGTGACACTTTTCAACCAATGAGAAGGCGCGCTTGTGTTTATCAACAAACAAATCAAAACATCGCCCCAGCGATCAAAAATTTTCAAAACAACTGACGGAGTCGGACAGAATCAGTCATCGTTTCGAGGCTCTCAGGCATATTTTTAAGACTTTTCATGATGAGGCACACAATTTTTTTAAGTAGACAGCGTCTTGGAAGCCATATTGGAAGTGTCTCGTGAAATATTCAGCACATTTTGTGGCTTATTTCTTCTTTTATCTTTTAATCAACGCGTTGTATAGGAGAGATTTTGGTCGGTTTTCAAGGTAGGTGAACAAGTATCTATCATTTTTTCGATTCACAGATTTCTTACGAAGTTCTAGATATTTTTCCTCGATTGTCGTATCCATTAACTTTTATCATGTTGAATGTGGGGATGGTAGACAACCTAGAAATTTGGTAGACAATTTTTGAATTCCGAGGTCCAAAACACGTACATTTTCCACTCCCGGGTTTCTCACAAAAGCCGTGTTATTACTTTTTTTTCGCATTAGTACGAGCCTTTGCCTTTTTTCCTTTCAAGGCCAAAACAACTTTATTAGTCTCATAGATATTCACGTCTAACATCTCGCCTCACTTTGCCGAATTTGCGGGGATGAAATTGAAGATCATAAACGCAAGGTACAGAAGGTAGATACTAACCGCTTTGTTTCTGAAATTCACTAATCTGGAAAGATTTAATGTTGTTGGATTCTCCAAATGTTCACCCACCGTTAAAAAACAATCAAAGAAACAAGGCAAATCTCAATTGTAAATGCTGTATTTCGCTACTCATTGAACATGCACTGATTATCTGGGATAAAATTAAAACATTGCAGGTACTACAGCAAGCAAAGAAAGCACCAGATGCGTGAAGTCAACACAAAACAACACAAAAAAACAAACAAGAAAAATTAATAAATTTGAACTACTTTCTATTCTTGTTATGATGACTGGTTCTTTGATTCTTGTCCTGTAGAAGTTAATAGGTAGTACCAATCCTGTTTTGTACGATCTCAACAAATTTTCACACTCCCTCTAAGGCTATTTTTGACGAGACCAGTTGCTTCTATCAAAAATCTTGCAAGCCATGCCAGTGAAACCACAACCTCTGCGATCGGTCAGGAATCAGTTCGAACACCCCAATGATTCCTTGCAATGATTAATGCTCTTATTCTCTTAGATGAAATGTTTTCTTTGAAATATTAAATGTGAAACCTAGACGAGTACTGTAAGCTCATCTTTAATTCTGTCCGACTCCGTCCGTTGTTTTGAAAATTTTTGATCACTGGGGCGATGTTTTGATTTGTTTGTTGATAAACACAAGCGCGCCTTCTCATTGGTTGAAAAGTGTCGCGTGACCAGTTGGCCCTGTCCTTAAATTTAGGGATATTCCGGACTGTTGTATAGTACTGACAATCTGGGTTCAGGCCTTGTTATCTTGCTGTTTCCTCTGACAAAAAAATTTTGCTCCACCGTGAAAGTTGCTACGCGATAAAAGAGTTCAATCCCCACGGGATTTTCTTGGTACACCAACATGGCCACCATTTCATTGCTTTGCACACCAATATGGCCACTGTGTTATAATTTGATGTGAAAATGATCAGATTCTATGAATGGGTCAAGGGACATATTTTGGGGGCTAACCTGGTGTGATGGACTTGCATTTGGTAAACAACCAGTTAACCAGTATAAAACTAGGTATACCTATCGATAGAGTGCCAACGAGCGTATTTTGCTTAGGAACAAAATTCCTTTTTTTCCCCAATTGACCGTTTCTTGGTCCCTTCCTGTTGCAAGGATTATTTTCTTGAAAAGTTCTCAGATTCAGTCTGGTGGCTTTACAAACCTGCTATGTAAAAGTGTGAAGTGCCTTGAAAGAATAAAGTCAGCTTTGCAGAGGAAGCGATCGGGAATATTATTAAGTCCAGCTACAAATCTACTGTCGGTTCGGTTTCACATTGTTGATAAATATTTACACAGTTTAATCATTTAAAATTCCTTTCAAATTTCCCGAGGCTTCTTGTTATGGGATTGAAACTTAGAATGATTCGCTAGGCCATCTGAAATGTTTCCAAGGACATGCGATGTACGGCACGTCGGTATTTAATTTTAGTTCATTATTTTTATACTGAACTCGGCCACGTTTCGAAAAAAATGGCGTTGTTTTCTTTTCCTTTGTCGTTCGCTTTAGGCTTGTAATTCGTTTTTGTTCTCATTGTTTTTGTTTGCTGGTTAGATTTTTTCCCCAACACCAGATTTTCCAACAGAAGCGACTGCATTCTTCGTGTCAAGCTTTCCTTATCTCCTCGTGTAATCTGATCCTTTTTAGTGGTCAGAATATTGCTTGCTGCACATAGAACACTTTTGCTGTTTTACAAACTTCTCTTCATTAAAACTTAACATTATGGCCCCTAAAATTAACAGAATATATGAAGTGCTCACGTCTCTTGACTGCGGTGACCGGTTTTGACGAAAAAATTTAGGTAAATAAACACAGGAAGTCGCGACGGCAGGAAGTGTGTGAAATTTTGTTTGTTATTCAACTTGAGCCCGTGCGCCAGGTACTGCCTTTTGATTGGTTCACAACTGACCACTTGGTCTCAGGGGAATCTACATTACATTGGGTTACACTTTTTTCAGCTCGATCGAGAATTTTTCTGCCTATTGCCCAGTCTTGCGCGGCTCTATTCTGCTGCCGCCTCGCCATCCAAGCGTCTTCCCTCGGATGGCTCGTTGGCAATAATTATGGCTGTACATTTTGAAATATTAATAATTTAAAATGAATATATATATTGAATAAATATATTGAATAATGATATTTAATTGCAGCTTTAGCCTTTTTCAACCAAGTTGACTTGTTATATGGAAGTGTTAGTGAGAGATGCACTTCGGCATCCTGTCCAACTATGTCAGCCCCAGGAGCTGTGTAAGTTAACATTTCATTTCTCCTGATACTATTCACACATACAGCAAGCTTTTAGGACATGAAATTGCACCTATTGTAGTGTATTGGCACTAACACACCAAAATTTCCCATTTTGGCAGTCAAATCCTGCAAATTAGTTTCCAAATTGACAACTAGAATGCTTCATTGCACCTTGTTTGAAGAGATTACAAGTATTTTGAAAATGTGTAAATGTGTAAGATGGTCATCTAAACATCTCTGTTTTAACCCATTCGCCCCTGAACCGCCCGTAACCGCCCGTGCGGAGCCAGGTCCTTTCTACCCTTTGTGACATCATCAGTTTTAACGGTCAAGGACAACTTTCTTCGCTAACTTGTGCAGAGTGAAGAGATCTTTCAAACCATACCAGAATGAGCACAATTCAGTCAAGGACACCGGAGAAAGAAGCAAAAAACCACGTGACAAGGACCTGAAAAACTCCATGAAAATCTTGTTCCATTACCCACCTACCTTTCCTTTCACCTAATCCTAAGATCCTAAAAGCTTTCCTAAAAACTCTTCCCACCAAAATGAAGCCTACTAAATGCCCAGCAAGGGAAAAAAAATGAGGCAAGAAAAGCGAAAAAAGAAGGGAGGAGAGAAAGCGAAAAGTAAAAGTCAAGACTGTCGAAATTTTGCTTTCTGCGCATGCCCGAACTTCGCAAGCTGATGTTTTGCATCTGGATCAGAAGGCCGCCAAGTGTACGACCTGTAAACCGGTTTGTGGTAAGTTTTAGCTCTTTATAGCATGACAGTGACCAGAAAACCACTCGGCTAGCTTCAAAACGCGTTTTTCCGCAAAATCTCCTGGAGCAAATGGGTTAAAGTGAAAGAGGTTTCAAATCCAAGGATAGAAAAATAATGTATAAGCATACACAATCTTTTGATAACCATCATGGAATCTTTATCAAGACAAGTGATGGATTTGGATGTTTTTAGTCACTTAATAATAATTTTTAATTTGTAATTCACGTGACAAACATCCCAGTAGATCGCGGGGAGCTCATAATAAGATTGGAGTCCCTGTGCACTTGCTTTGCAAATAAAATCTTAAGCTAGACACCATCTTGGTTTTCACATACATGTACATTCATTGTATTTTGTCTTTTATAGTATCACTTTAGTTTTAGATGTATGCTACCTGCTAGAATCATTTTTCTGTAGGGAGTAACCTTTACTTTAGATGTAACTGTTTACATCTTGGGTTAAAGTAAAGAGTTTGATTTAGATGAGTGTCATTGTTTATGCAGCTGGCAGTAGCCCCTGTTTGTTTGCTGACTGTCCAACCATCCCAATCTCCTTGGGATTCTCTCGATTTTGCTTGAAAATCCCAATCCCGACCAATATGTGATCACAATTGGAAAAATTCCAGTTTTGACATTAGTTATGATGTTTTCAAATGTATTCGTGGGATTTGCGTAATGATGGTGACTTAAATGTCTACACCAGTTAGTTGCACGTTGCAGTGACCAACTTGAAAGCCTGGCTGATTAGTCTCTGCACACACTTCACCTTTGATGATTTATGTCATTTTGTTTCATGTTTTCTTACTTTTGTAATTTATTGTAATTTTTGTAGCAACCTCTTGAAATAGTGCAAAAAATAAAAAATGTGAATCTGACTCTGACTCTGATACTTTTCCAACAGAATATACTTAAACGGAAACTGAAATCGAGTACTTGTATGTGAAGCCACGCAATTAAAAATAAGCATAAAAAGACATCGATTTAGCTGACATTTAGACAGAAATTGTCCTCTCAAAACACTAGAAAAAGCATTTCAGAGCATAAAAAGTTCAAAATTTTCTGGGGTAACATGCCTCCTGCCCCTTGTATGGGCTCGCACCCTCAGTGCTCCCGTTCATTCATCGATGATTGAAAAATGTCTTAGTTGATTTTACATACTCAAAAGGTTGGACAGTCTGTGTGGTTCTAAGGTTTTTGCTTGGAAAAGGTTCCAATGGAATTTTCATTGAACTTTTTTTTTTTCAGAGTATATTTGTGGCATGATGACAAAGGCAAAAAGATAACAAAGACAAATGTTTCAGCACCTCAGTATATTGACTACGTTATGACATGTTGTCACAATTATCTACATGATGATGCAGTGTTTCCTACAAAATATGGTGAGTTTAAAGAAAAAGGTGGTGGTGAGTTTAAGAAGACATGTAGAGAGCATATAATAGTAAAAACCAAGTGCAACAACAACCAACATCAGAAAAACAAACAGGTTTATAAATGTTACTGAGCAGAACCACACTTCTGCATGTTTGTCACACTTTAATTAGTTACATTTCTTTTTTGTCAGTGAATGCATGACTGTGATGTGAAATAATTAATCTACCCTTATATGGCTAAAGTAACTTTCATTCTTAGCACAAGAGCAGCATGACTTTCTTGCACTGCGTGACAGTCTTCAGGTGGTTAAATAAAAATTATATACTTCGCACATCGAAGCATCTTTAACCTATGTGGTTTAATTTTTCTGTTTACAATCTACCTTCCATTAATTTTGTTTCAAGTTAGAAATTAACTGTAATTATATTTCTTTTAGATGGCACATTGTAGTCAAGTTCACTGTGGCTATAGGTGTACGTGTTGTACATTATATGCATGTGTACCATTGTATTCTAAATTCTTTAAATTATCTTAATACATTAATGATATTCTTATGCCAATGCAACATTATTCCATTTGTACCTAAAAGAGAAGCATTATGTGTGGTATAATTTGTAGAGAAGGCCTCTGTGGCAAGTTTTAAAATAACCAATTAATTATATTTCGCTTTTTTCCCCTGTAGGAATGACATTTCCATCAACTTTTCTTACAACAGTGCGCAAGATTTTCAAACTTCTCTTTCATGTGCTGGCTCACATTTATTATGCTCATTTCAGTGATCTGTTAAATCATGAACTGCATTCTCACATTAACACTGTGTTAATGAACTTCATTTTATATCAGCAAGAATTTCACTTGCTTGACGCCAAGGAAACAGCACCATTAGATGACTTACTTCAAGCAATGGGCCTGATTAGTCAGAGTTAGTTTTATAAAATATGTCCTTTGGGTATGTATTTTTATCCAGATAAATTTGTGTGTTATTAATAGGTATATTTTCTCAATATTTCTGGTGTTAATATTTGTGAACATTGAAATATGTATGACATTCATTGAAAAAATTTGCCTGGGTCAATTTTTAATTTAAAGTGTAATTTTTAGTGGTTAGTATTTTTAATTAACCCCTTTACCCAGTTTAACAGTGACCAACATTGGATTTGTCCCTAAAATTTCACTGATAAAAAGGTTATTAGCACAGGCATCCCAAGCTCACATTATGAGGGTGGAATGTAACTTCCAATGACGTGAGTGAGTCGGTATCGCATTACAACGTTGTATGAGAAATAAAATACCAAGGTCTGCGAACAATAAATATTTTTATTTTTACCTTTTGATCAATAAACTAAATAAAGAAGATATATCTTCATTGTATTCTGTGTTTTTGGTGACTTCATTAGTATACAACGTCTTAATGATTGTGTGTAATACAATACCTACTCACTCGCATCAATGCCCGTAATTGCTAGCATAGAGGAGATGATAACCAAGTAAAAAAGGTCTTGATCATTAAACAAATTCTCCTCATCAATACCATGGAAAATGTATGAAAGACAATGTGGAGAAAGTGCATGCTGATGTTAGGACTTAAACCTTTAAGTCCCAAGAGTGATCAACATCAATTTTCTCCTAACGGTATCAATACATAGTGATGATAAAAGGTTATGAGAATTAATGAAATGATCACGTTGGGGAAAATGCTTTGATCTTGAACAATTTCTCTCAACTTATTCTCTGAGGAAATGAATAGAAATCAGTCTGGAGAATTTGTTTGTCAATATTGGGGCTTAAAGGAAATTAGGTTCAATTTTAACAGAACATACATATAGAGAACTGAAAAGAAGGATCATTTGTTTTTCATACAAGCTGATTAAGTGCAGACCAAACCAGTAACCAGATATAATAGAAATGCAAGAGGCCTGTAGCCAGTATACTCCAACCCAAAGGTGGTTGTCTTGTTAAAAAAGGGAACTTAAGCAACGACAGTGATGACAGCAGTGAAAATGTAACTAGAAAAATGAATTTGGGTTCTTTCAAATGTTATCGGGTCTATTTGGACATGCTCAGTATCTTTCCTGGACTTGAATTCTTAAGGACTTAATCCAGGTTTAAAGAGAGTCAAAGGAAAATTCTTTGTCGCATCTGTCATATGTTCACGTCCTGCGTAAAACATTGCATCAGATTGTTAATCGTTTTCATGCAGTGGACATCAAATAAATGTACTAAAAAGCGTGATGTACACCCAGTTGTTTTGGTCATAAAACCAATTGTTTTTTGTTGTCATCGGTGTTTAAGCTCCCTAATGACTTTTCTTTTCACAAGTTTCTTGTGTGTGTGGCACAAGTTCTAAACGCCATGTCATAATGAGCGTGCCTTGGTCCCTTTCTAACCTGTTCCTCAGTTTCACTGGTTTGCATCAAGGTTATGAGATATAAGCTAGCTGTCATAAAGGCATTATTTATATTAATATTGATCATCAAAACATTTCTATTAGAGTTCTAGTTTTAGTAGTTTAATTGCATCAGTCACTGAAAAGTTGCATTCATACAGTAAACACTACCCACATGAAAATAAAAGAACCTGGCATTTTCTGATTCACACTGTTGCATTTCTTATATACACTGTATAGGAGGGAGGATAGTGAGATATCAGCTTGCCAAGGTTCAGCATGTCCTATATAAGACTTGTCTTAGATGGCTCTGTTCTGTGCTAGTGGTGGTTCACACACTTACTTGGATATACCCCACTGATATCAACGTAGGATAAAATGGCCCCTGGAAAGGAGATTGCAACCTTCGGTTACCTTTCCTTTATGAACCCGCTTCATTTGTCAGGCTGAATGGGCCTTTTGCACCCAGTCATTCACATGGTACAAAACCATCATGCTGGAGGGCAAGAGACATGCTGGAACAAGTCAAACTATCAAATGATCTGGACTCTTTGTTTGTCCTGTCCCAGTGTCCCTTAGGGCCTGTTTACATGAAGGTAGGCGACCCCAAATAGGTGAGGTAACATGTGGCGGGTCACCCACCTATCATGTAAATGTAATCAAATTAAAATGAGAAATTATATGGACAGGCGGGTTACCCCATCTAAGCGGGTTACCTCACATACCTGGGGTCCCCCACCTCCATGTAAGCAGGCCCTTAGTCTCCAGCATGGCAGTTTTATACCACGTGAGTGACTTGCTACAAATGGCCTATTGGTTCTTTTAATTACATATTAGGGAGTTTAAGAATCTATTCAACAATGGTGACAGCCACGAAAACGTCACTTTAGAAGTGAATTCACACTGCCTCAAACTCTATCGCGCTAATTCCATTAATTCGTCAAATGTTGGCAATTTTTTTGAAGTTGAATTCTAAAGGACTGTATCTAAGAAGGAAGTTGTTGTTGTCTTAATTGTGTTTCCGCCCTCAACAAAACGTGAAATTAGGCACTTTTTGCATTGTATTCATGCAACAACGGCTAAGATCTGTACAAAAAGCGTTGTTGTTTTGCCAATCTAAACCTATTGGTTTTTTGCCATTCTTGTTGCCGTCGCCATCGTTGTTGCTTAAGCTCCCTATTTTTAAATTAAAGCATTTTATTGGCCACATTTCAGTCTCGAGTTTCTTATATAAACTGCTGTTTTTTTCTGTGGTTGTTTACGGTATTGCAACTTCCAGCTTTAACAGATCTTAACAGTTTTCTTTCATATTGTGATTCAGTTTTGTTTCCTTAAAGGACTCCTTGCATAAATAATTAATTATTAACACAAGTTTTTAAGTTCCAAGATTTTGAAATACCTTAGCATTTTATTACATGTATTAGATAAACTTTTGCACTTTCAAAGTCAGATCAGTTACACATGTACATCGATTAGTTGATGCAAACAATAAAAAGAGGAAAGCGTATATGCCAAGAGTGATAGGTAAGACACAGGCGGCCCAAGTTCGGTGCATAAAGTACCGCGAGTTCAGTATCAAAACCCGCGGAAATTTATGCACCGAGCTTGGGCCGCTTGTGGGTGACATAACACCTCTGTGTCTACAAGCTAAATTCAGTGACTGTCATAATCACAGATTTTGCTTGATTTTCTTTGATACTTTCCTTAAAAATGAAATGTTCCTGAAATATTTCCCTTCAGTAACAAGAATAGAGACAAAGTCGCCTTTTGTTTTCAAATAAAAAGAAATTTTCTAATGCATACCAAAAAGCCAGAGCCCACATAGGGTGACAGGGCTGGTATAATGCCTTCCCCCCTCCCCCACCCCCAACTCCTGAGGGTGTGGTTTACAGGGTCCTGAATCTTAGGGTGCTTTCCATTTGCCAGAACTGACCGGCCAGGCCACTCCCGTCGTAGTGAGACTTTCACTTATAATCAAAACTATCCAGCCAGATCAGACAAATCCTAACTAGTATGCACGAAGGAGATGGTTTTTCAGCAAAAAGCCTTTGGAAAAAGCCCATTTCATTTGCTAATTAACTGGTCCAGCCGGCCAGTTCTGACAAATAGCATGGTGTCTTTTTGGGCCAGAAGCCTTTAAACGAGTGTGAAGGTTGGTGATCAGCGGGCTTTGTATGTGTGTGGTTAGGGTTAACGTTAACAACGTTTTTACAAAAAATCTATTTTCATCAGTTGCTAATTTCAAAAATAACTTAATTCTGTGCTCGAAAGGAAATGAATCAGGGTCATGAAATAATACTGGTATCTTTGTTTCATTCGCTGTACTCACTCGTGAAATACTTTTTCAACACTTGAAGAGAAATTTCGTATCTCCGAGCGGCCATGTAATATCCAATCTATACACCACCATGGAAAACAAAACAAATAATTTTAATGCATTTACGTATAATTTACTATTATAAGTTTTCTGAACACAACGATAATATATTTTACAAAAAGATGCAAGTGGTTTACAAGTCTGTAAAAGTTTTCACAAAAGTTATAGCAAACTATATGTTTTAAGTTCTGAACTTTGAGTTCAAGAATTATCATTTTTTCTAATTATTGCCAAAGAGAAGACCCCGGGGATACTTCCATATACGGGCTAGATAAGTATGTGCCGCCTAATACGGTTGCCATTGTTAACGCGTCATAATCCTAGTGTGATCCTTAGATAGGATATCGTTTTTATATCAGCTAACATTCCATTGCGTAAATGTCCAGATACACGAAAAAGAAATTATCTGTTAGCTGAACTTTACCTTAGAGTATTAGGAAAGCGATTAAGGAAGATTTGTGTGTCTCCAATAAATTCTTAGTTTCTGTTTCATCCTTAAAATGGGTCTCATTTTTCAGGTTTGGGCCTGAAAAGGGACTCCGTTTTCGTTTGTCTCATCCTTAAATAGGATCAGGGTTTAAGCCCCCGGGCGGCACACACCTATCCAAAATTTTTGGGAGTAGCCTCCCCTCTCCCGCCGGGGAAGAAGACCAATATATCCTTCTCTCCAGCAACGTTGACTTCGTTTTCATTTTCCGAAATGTATACGTACATGAATACTATACAGAAATCAATTGTTTGTAACGTGCGTACAGAAAAGGTCTTCTTTTCTGCCAATTGCCATTAAATTTCGCCTTGTGAAACTGCGATCCAGGAATGCCTCAGCTTCCATAATGAATTTCTTTCCTTCTCGTTGCTGACAGTCGAACATCATTCTTCTCGTCACGAGTTTTACATCGCCATCAGATTACGTTCTTTTTTCCCCGAGCCACGTTTGTCGTCAGCTAGCGATCCTTGTGGCAGACTTCTTTTCAAGCCACGTTCTATATTTTGCAAGAGCAGAGTCAAGCATCTCGACTAAGTGGTCCGCTAACTGCAAAGAGACCAAGGGACTATGAGGATCTTCAAAACGTTTTTCGGGATGCGGGATTTTGCCTTATTCAAAGAACGGGATTCGGAATTCGAAATTCGAAATCAAAACGAGGGCGAGAATTGAGACTGAAAGTATACACGGGATGCGGAATGCCGAAAATAATCATCGGGATTACGGGATTTGGTTCGGGATTACGAGACTGAAGAACCCAATTGGGAGCCTCCAAACCTCACACAATCAAGCAAAAATTCTCGCGGACTGGGCAAAAATGACTATTCTAGGTAATGTGAAGTAAATAAATAAAAACATCATTTACTAACGTGAGAATCTTCCATGGAAAGATCACTGCGAAACTGTTGTAATTTAACATCTCTGAACTTCTCAAGACTCTGACCCATCCTTACAACCTGTTGAAATGATAACAGAAATAAATATACAAAATTACTAAACCCTTTACTCCTGGCAGAATTTTTTTGTTAAGTCTTAAGAAATAAATAGCACCACGTAAGTTTTACCAAAGGGGTTTCATCTGGATGGTAACACTGACCGTGGGATTTCGCTCAGAGATTTAAAAGTTAAATAATGCATCTCGCCATATCTCGGGCTAGAAGTGAAACGGTGAAAGATACTATGTTTAACAAAAACGTTTTCTAGTCTGTTACAAAGACACCTTTGTGGGAGTGGAATAATTGAATAAAAACCCTACTTGTTTCTGTATAAAAGCCAATGAAAACCATCCTGCTGATTAGAAGGCGGGCGAGAGGGGATATTCGGCCACGTGCATTTCCTGGATCATTTTACGTTTCTGTGAAACTGCCCACCTACCACTCCCCTGAGCCAACATTTTGCTCTAAGTAAGACCTAAGAGTTAATGTGGGTTTAGGGGAGGGGTAGGTGGGCAGTTCCACAGAAACATAAAATGATCCCCTTTCCCCACCCATTCGCAGCCTGTGCATTTTAACAAAACTTTGGGTTGGAATGGTGGAGTTTGTTTTGAGGAAACCATTTCATCAAGCGTACATTGTCCTGAGATTAGTTTATTTCCTGTAATATTCGTTGCGTGTGGTGCGTCTTTTACGCGGGAAACTCCTTAACTGTTCTTTTGATTGGCTGTTTATCGCGGGACTCAGAACCTGCGATAACATTTCGGGAAGCTATCGTGGTCACTTCCTTCCTGTGATTTTTTTTTTACGTTTCCATTGACAATTATGTCCAATAGTATTATTCTCGCGAAAAAAAAAAGCGCTCGCACATAATTCCATTCATCCGAGGTAACAGGCTTTATCTCTCTTATCTCTCCATCGCGTGACATTTCACGATATCTCCCCTCCCCCCACCCCAAATGGAGAGCTTGCTCGCACGCCTCGCAGGCAACGATAATTTGTCTTTGCGACTAGTCACATAAAATAAAAGCTGTATAAATTTAAGATCCATCGTCGCAAACTTACATTTTTCCCGCAAAGACCGTGAAGGAAACTATCGCCGCGACCGGTCTGCGCTACAAAACACTGCAGCAGGCGGCACAGTGTGTTGTAACATGTTTAAGCGTACCTTTTCTTCTAAGAATTGCGTTTTTACTGGAAAACATGACCAAAAATGCCGCAGGAGCTCAGACAGCGAATTGTACTGCAACTTCAGCTCCTTCTGCAGTTTGGAAGGCACCAAATCTATAAAGAAAGAAAGCTGCGGCTTTCAAGACAGCATTGCAACCTGAAGGGAAGAAATTTACTTAAAAGAGGCAACACAACTACTGATATAGCTGATAAGGTGATACTCGGTAAAGAAATATCAAAAAGTGTCTAATGTTTTCAAAAAAACACAAACGTTTCAGGTTTATGATAACCTAGAATTTTACATTGTGGCCTACAAATAAGGAAAAGTCCCCAAAAAAGACACTTACGTTGCATACTCGTTTCCGAAGTTGTGTTCATCAAGGATCCTCCGGGAGACATTTCTGTGAGCACGTGGCAGGCCATGTCACTCGGGAGGACCTTTAAGGCAACAGAATATTGCTAAATTTCGGCCAACTAATGATGTAAGGAAACTCAAATTCAGATCAAGTTCTCTTAATTAAAAATTCATTTCACTCTGAAAGTAAGATAGGTCCCACGTTTGTAACCTACGACAAGGCGGAAATAGGGCCGAATGCAGGGGAAAAAAAAGACATGCAGAGATATAGTGAGGGCATGGTCACAGTACTCCGGGCTCAAAAAACGCCCCGTCTGGTTGTCGGGGAAAGAAGATATTTTTTGCCGGGTTAGTAGCTTTTCACGCTCTTGGCAACAAAATTTAAGAGCCGCCAGAAGTCAAGTCTTTTTTTAAGTCGTGACTAACCGTATAAATCCTTGAAGAATCCCAAAAACGACCCCTCACTTTCGCTTGAAAGAGGGTATTCAGTTTAGAAGAAGTGAAGCAGACTCTTCAAACGGGCAGTATCACTAGATTTGTGAAATTGGTTGTTTCGGGGTTGCGTGTGGTACTTGGTCGGTATCAGGGAGAATAAACCTTTATCCGCCCTGGTCGGTATTGTGTCCAATCGCGCTATCGCCACTTCAAAAACCAGAAAGGAACTGGGTCGAGTTAACTATCGCAAAGACTTGTGGGATTGTTACTAGAGACAGGGAAAAAAAATTGCTGATAGCTGACCGGTGCGTCCCCAATAACGATCCCAGAAACAATTGCGGAACGCATTTCGGCTCCAGTTCCCTTCTCGTGTCTAAAGTGGCAATTGAGACTGGTTTGGGGACACTATCGCGTCTTTTTCTGGCTACTACAAGGTTGCACAGGGAAGTAATTCAAAATTCTCCGCCCTCCAAAAAAACAGTCCCATGCTGCAATGCGACAGAATACTAACCCAGTCTCCGGCGCGTCCACAAAATAGCTAACAAAAGTCAAAAACGTATCAGCACAACTTCTTAAAGTTTTAAAACATGTCTTTCCTAAATGTCTGTAGTAAAAGACCGCGACTTTCTGTCAGTTACCATGCCCCAGTTGTCAGCTGGAAAGTTGGATAACGCTATCTACTGGTTTCATCTCTATCCAGTGGATAACGCAATGGGCGATTTGTACGATCACGTCTTTTGACTACTACGATCAGAATTCTTCAGGGTTTTGCTTCCTTGTTCAAATTAGGGTTATTGGTATTTAAACCTCGCTGGGATAATAAAATATTAAAATGAAAAGTAAACGAAATGGATTGAATCCATTTCCACTTCGTTATTTTACTACCTAATACCACAGTCTGGTAGTAGTAGAAATAAAATTATGACATCACACAAATGGCTTTCTTATCCACTGGATAGTGATACATCCGGTGGATAGTGTTAAACAACGTTTGAACAGCTGCGGCAAGGACACTATCAGTAGATTAACATTTACACAAATGCTCCTCGCGGATGGATTTTTAAGTAGTAATAAACATTGGTTATGTTGTCCCTTCATTCGTGACCTGGTAAAGGGCAAATTTCTACTTACCCCAGGCAGGTTAGGCTGCCACTGCTCCACTTCTTGTTGATTACACTGGAGAGCTACAGAATTATCCGCATGGCTTCTTTTAGCCTGATGTGAACCTCTTTCCTAGGAAAAAAAAACGTTTTATGGTGTTAGTCGGGGGTAGAAGTAAAAAAAAAAGGGCGCAGAGTACCCCAAAAGGTGACCACATACACATCCCGACTACCTTTTCGTTTCTGAGCTGTTTAGACGCAACGGAAAGTTAAAAGAGGGCAAACATCATTTTCACATCAAGAGGTGCCCAATCAAAATAACAAGAAACAAATACCGTCACTGGAAAGTAATACCGAGATAGTCTCAGTCAAATAAACAAGAAAGTCTCTGGGCTGTTCCTCGAGACCAGCTAGAGGAAAAATGCCGCCGTAATACGAACGTGGACTAAGTGCTCAATGGTACTTGTTTTCTAAATCTCGTTCCACACACTCATAGTTAAACTACGAGTAGTCCTCAGGAATGGTAAAACGAGCGCATTATGCGAGCGTGTGTGAAAATCGCCACCTTCGAGGAAGGTGATACACGGAGGGAAGAGTTCAAATGAGGAACTAAAGACTAAGCCAAGCTGGCCCCAGTTGGTCGAACGGTGGGTAACGCTATCCACTGGATAAATCAACGTAATCGATTTCCCTAATATTTATCCGCTGGATAGTGATTTATTCGGTGGATACTACTGAACAACCGGGGCCTGCAGGAGTTTGACCGCTTTTTTCCCTCCGTGTTACACGTTCCTCGAGGGGGGCGATTTTCACGAGCGCTCGTGTATTTCGGTCACTCTAAAATGAGGGACTACTCGCAGCCTAACCCATTCTTGCCGTCGAGGATAAACTTTGTGAAAATGATTTACCATTGCGATACCTACTATACTACTTACACAAATAGGGAGCTTTAGCATGGACGACGGCGATGGCAGCGAAAACGTCACTTTTAAAAGAATTCGCGTTTTTTCAAACTTTGTCGTGTTTTAATATTCTAATTCAACGAAAATACCGTAAAATTCCGAAAATAAGCCCCTCCATGTATAAGCCCCTCCAAATATAAGCCCCCCAAACCGGTAACGCAAAAAACCCTCCGTTAAATCGCCCCTCCAAATATAAGCCCCCCGGGGGCTTGTACTTGGAAAACTGCCCTCAAATACAAAGTAAAACAAAGCCAAAATGGTAAATTTACTTCCAACTATAAGGATAGCACAATCGATTTTGAAACGCAAATTTCCCTCCGTTGATAAGCCCCTCCAAAAGGGCCTTTGAAAAATATAAGCCCCGGGGCTTATTTTCGGAATTTTACGGTTTCAAGTGTAGGCGAATTTCCCTGGAATTGATTTCTTGGGGACCGCGCTCAAGTTTAAAAAGAAAAGAAAAAAATTGCCGTTGCCTGTTTACGTCCTTCATAAAATATGAAATTAGGCAATTTCACGTCGGTAAAGAAATATACAAAAAAGCATGATGCACGTGCAGAGTTGTTTTGCTTATCTAAACCTATTGCTTTTTTGACGTTCTCGTCGCCGTCACCGTCGCCGTCGTCGTTGCTAAGCTGCCTAATAACTTAACACAGGTAAACTTCAGAGAGCTCAAAATACCAACGAAAGTTTCTCTTTGTATGGAGGGCTCCAAAACACTACTTAATCACAGTAATCCTGCACGGTTATATAACGAATCCAAATAATAACCAGCTCTCAGTTTGCTTGATAGATCAGATGGTGAGAGCAACGCACCAGTACCGCAGGAGCATATGTTCAAGCCCGAACCAGGAGCTGATGAGTACCTCCTATACTAGGCCTACATGCATGTCATAACGTTTTCACGGACTGGTTTATTTTTAGATACATTTTAGATCACAGTTTTTCCCCTCCGCTCCGCTCCGTTTCCGTTTATGAGCGCATTCCGAGTATAAGAAATGTCAAAAAGGAAAACTAAACGTCATCAAAAGGCAAAAATATCATTTTTTGGTCTGTAGGTTTTGCTAACTAGATTGTGGGACTTCAAAGATATTCTAAATTCGCGCCAAAACTGGTCAGTGAAAACGCCGTGACTAGAGTACATGGACGTTACTCGCTGCGGGTTATGACCTCCCACCCAAGTCTTTTTTTTTTCAACCTACTCAAAACTGCTTAAAAAATCATTATGCCTTCTAATTATCCTACCTTGGGGACTACAGGAATAAGGCCCTGAGAAAATTTTGATGAATCGGCGATTTTTAAGCTGGGAAGCTCTCTAGCTTGCTCTACAGCCAAGTCATCATACTGAACCATTTCCCGCAAACGGGTCTGTCGGAAAATGTGAATAAAGGTTTAGTTACATGATAAACAAAAGGGATGAGCCAGAACCTCATAACGGGTTTTAAAAAAACGGGTAACTCTCAAATGTTTGCTTTGTTCGATGCTCGTGAATTTTCATCTTCGCAAGTACCATAGTTGGAACGAGAAGAAAATTTAACCAACCAATTAAACTTCGTAAACGACGTGACGTAATTTTACTCCACGTTCTCGAGAGGGAACCTGAGGTAGCTCAAGCAGCAACGATAGCGAAAGCTACAACAAACCGCACTTAAAAAGTGCATTCGCGCTGCTTCAAGCTTTATCTCGCTTTCTCCATCTCGTTCACTTCGTTTAAAGACTGTATCGAAGTTCGGGAAAAGAAAACGAAAGTCGCTGTATTGTGTTTTTGCCCTTCACAAAAGGCCACTTTCATGTCGTAGTCGTGCAGTGACGACAAAGAAATGTACAAAAAAGCGCGATGCACGTGCAAAGTTGTTTTGAAACTTCCTGGTTTTTTGAGGCCACAGCGAGGGTTTCCGAATATGGTGCGCAGAGAAAAATGAATATTCACGAGCATTCAACGCGAGTTACACGTTTCAACCCCTTATGAGTTTCTGGATAGATTTTCCTGGGTAAGTTTTACATTGCAGCCAAAAGAGAAGGGATATCAATTACCTCTCCCACACGCACTAGACTACCACAGCTGCGAGTAGTCCCTCATTTCTCTCAAGGATAGTAGATCCAGCGAAATACACCAGCGCGCGTGAACATCGCCAGTCGCGAGGAAGGTGACTCTCTTTCCACAATGTCTTGCCTCTTCTCGCGCGCCACGATTTTCATGCGCAGTCGCGCATTTTGCTTTCTCAACTATTTGTGAGAAGAATGAGGGATTACTCGTAGTCTTCACACTGATGTAAAAATCTTCAAGAGCTGCTACTTGTTACACGAAGAGTTGCAGCATCTGTACTTATTTGAAGTCCGGGGAGAACTAGCTTATTTTGGCTAAAAGAAGATGCCGCCGAACAGGGTATGTTACACGAAACAATTCGCAACAACGATTTTTAGGGCAACACAGCGTGGCAACATTGTTTCGAATAGTGACAACGTTGTTCCAATATTGCAACGCTGTGTTGCGCTAAAAATCGTCGTTGCGAATCGTACCGTGTAACATAAACAACATACCCAAGCTTCCGTTAAGTAACCCCCAAAATTTGAAGCTGAAATAAGACTCTTAAATAACCTGTGTAGTAGATGAGTAAATCAAAGCACTGAATGAAAAGAAAGGAACTGAATAAGCCATATTGTACAAATTACAAGTATAATTTGTCATTTGTAACCAGGGCTGTCACTAAAATTTCAAGCGGCAAAGTATATGCACTAGGCGAGGATTTAGATGGCTACGAGGGCCTAGGGGGTCACGCTCATAGCAGGAGAGTAAATCCCCGGGGGAGGACTACTACGAGTACGAGATTTCCCAACACAAAGTAGTGCTCGCGCGTGAACCAGCGTCATTTTGGCGGGAAAACGTGATAGCCGTCCTCCGAGTTTTAGCGAAAATGTCGTAGTAGCGGAAACAAGGTATCGAATTTTAGAAGTTAATTCATTTTGCACCGGCAAAGGGCTAAACATGCCCCAACAAAATAACCGCACTAATTTTTCAGGTGAAAAATAGTACAATGAAGCTTTCCGGGTTTAATGGGTTTTTTTTCAAGTTAAATCTCGTATTCATAGTCGTCCTCGTCCACATATCTAAAGCTCTCTAAAAAAAAGGCTGGTTTTCACTAGCGACGGAGTCGGAGTCGGAGTCGTAATCAGAAGCGTAGAGCTTATGATCTAGTGAAAACATTGTTCCGATTCCGCTTACGACTCCGTCACTTACGTTCCGCTTATGATCTAGTGAAAAACAGATTGTCGGAGTCGGAAGCAGAAGCGGAAGGATAAACCAATCACAAAGCATGGGAACGTGCATTGTGATTGGTTTGGTTCTTCCGCTTCTGCTTCCGACTCCGACAATCTGGTTTTCACTAGATCATAAGCGGAACGTAAGCGACGGAGTCGTAAGCGGAGTCAGTCGAAAGAAATGGAAACGTTCTGATTCTTCTGATTCCGATTCCGTCGCGCTTATGACTCCGCTTACGACTCCAATTTTTGATTTTCACCAGGTCGTAAGCGCTCTTACGACTCCGCTTACGACTCCGACTCCGACTCCGACTCCGTCGCTGGTGAAAACTCTGTTCTAACGAAAGAGGTGCAGTAGAAAAGTTAGCTGACTGTACATAAACTAAGCTTAACAAAGGTTAAAATAAGAGGGCTCTTAACATTAAAAGGTAAATGATAAAGTCTTGTACAAAGAAACCTCTCCAGTACTTTCACATGATACTGGTAACTATCAAATGCTGATAACTAACTATTAGTTTGGTCTTCACCATTTTTAGTCGGAGTCGTAAGCGGAATCACGTAGTGAAAATCAAAGCGCGACGAAATCGGAGTCAGAAGAATCAAAACGTTTCCATTTCTTACGACTCCGCCACTTACGTTCCGCTTATGATCTAGTGAAAACCAGACTGTCAGAGTCGGAAGCAGAAGCGGAAGGATAAACCAATCACAAGGCACGTTCCCACGTTTTGTGATAGGTTTAATTCTTCTGCTTCTGCTTCCGACTCCGACAATCTGGTTTCCACTAGATCATAAGCGGAACGTAAGTGACGGAGTCGTAAGCGGGATCGGAACGCTGTTTTCACTAGATCATAAGCTCTACGCTTCTGATTACGACTCCGACTCCGTCACTAGTGAAAACCAGCCTTAATTTTGTTGAATTTTGATTTCAGTCACTTTTGTAAGGTGAAGGATCAAGTAGATAAAATTGAATTTCAAAACCTTTTTAGGGGGAGGAGCAGTGTCTTTGGCGTCACCATTCCTTCCATTTGTTTCTTTCCCTGTAGCCGTGCTGGACCTATGGAGAAAAATAGCACAATAAAATAGAATCACTGACTGTGAAGTGGACAAATCACGTGCTTCTCATGGAATTACAAAGTCTACAAACTCTCAGCTTTATAGATCTGAAAGTTTAAACACGACTTTTTCATAGCAATCAGTCAGAGAAATTTTCAAATACAAAGTCAAGACATGTACCTCAATAGAAATTGTTAAGATCATAAAATAGATTGAGGCTAGTGAATTACTTATGCTCACTACAATAAGTTGGCTGATCAAAATACATTTTGCTTTACTTTTTTGAATCAAGCTTCAAAACAACATAAGTAGTCTGAGAAAACAGCCGACATTTGGCGACGCTACCACTGGTTTCCCCGCCAAATGACGTCTGAGAAACGAGCGAAGAAATTCCATACTGATGACGCGTCACTATACAGAACTGGGTAGTGCTTCTGATTGGTCGTGGCGCGTGGGAAATTTGATTTAACCAATCAGAAGCACTACCCAGATCTGAGTAGTAACGCGTCATCAGTATGGAATTTCTGCACTCGTTTCTCAGACGTCATTTGGCGGGGAAACTAGTGGCAGCGTCGCCAAATGTTGGCTGTTTTTTCAAGCTACGTAATAAACTGAATTCAAGAAAAGCAAACCTGGAGTAGGGCTTATATCCAAGGGGACTTATTAGAGTTCCTTTCACGATTTTTTTTTAATTTTGATAAAGAGAAGTAAGTGAATATCCATCGACACTGCTGAAAAGAGGGCCTTAAAATAAGGTCACTTACCAAGTTTAAAGATGGTACGTCCGAAGAGAGCAAAGAAATTGCTTTTCAAAGTTACGACATTGTACAGGCGTTTGTATGGTGGGTAGGGGGGGGGGGGGGCACAAACTTGCCCCCACCATACAAACATCTATAAAATTCTGCGACTTTCCGGAGCTACATCTTCGTTAGTTTTCCAAAAATTGCTTTCACACTTGGCAACTTTACTAATTCAAGGACGTTCTCTCCAGTCGTGTTGACAGTTTTTCGCTAATTGGCCCCAGTTGAAAAAACCGTGGAAGGGTCAATTTGATGTATTTTTTATGGGTAGATGGGAGGATCCAGGATTTTTCTTAGGCGAGGGTGCACCACTTAAGGAATGGTGTAACTGACTGGTGACGTAAACAAATTTCAAAAGCGAATACGAAGAAGAAGGCTTTTGACCAGGAATGTGAACTGCTGAGAAAACATATCAAACAATACAGCAGACTTCAGTGCCAAACTACCATTTTTACTGCGTTTGACATAAATTCTTCAACCTCGTCTCATGTTTTACTTCAGCACCAAGAATACCAGTTGTATTGGAAAGCCGCAGGTAATCTCGTGGGGGAGGGGGCACGCCCCTTGCACCCTCCCCCTACATCCACTCCTGGATGGGCCTGAGCTATGGGGAAGCATATGAGCAGCAGTTTATGGTATTAGTTTTATCAATTGATATAATATGGAGAATTGACCATTATCAAGTAAAAACTTCTGGATCATATGGTCAAATGTGGACAGTTCTCATGCAATGTCTTACCCAACAGATGTGTTTTGGAGCACCATTAAACTGTGATGATTTAGTCTTCTAAAGAGAGACTGTGTTGCAACATTGTTCTTAGGGTCAATAACCTCTGATGTGAGCCCATAACCCTGCATTGTTGTACAAGAAGATAAAGATATTTGAAGCTATCAATAACACATTACCTCATGGGTTCTCAGCCAATTAGAGGTTTTTTTTGTCTGGTTTGTGGAGTTTCAACCTTTTACCAAACTATTGTAATTTGTAAATTGATTACCCATGAAGCACTTTCCTATTGAAATGCACAAGAGTTCTCAGGTGTTTCTTCAGTACACAAATTAGATAACACATTTCCAAAATATTAACAATAATATACATCTGCCCCATTCCTTATGCTTTCAAAGAGACAAGATCCATCCAGCTAGCCAGTCTCTGACCTTTGGTGAATGTCCTTATACCCTGTCCTCACATATGTGGATATATTTGAATCCGCAACGTTTTCTTTCTGGACTCAATAATTTCCACATCCACACGTGATTTTGTAATTTGTTTACCCGCGGAGCACTTAGGAGTTCTTAAGAACTCATTGAGACATGTCTGTGTCTTCCAGATTGAATATTAGAAATTTGGAAGTGTAGGTTTTTAGGAGGGAAAACTAGAGAAACCTGGAGAAAACACCTCGGAACTAGGGAAAGAACCAACGACAAACTCAACCCACATATGGTATTGACGCCAGGATTTGAACCCAGGCCAAATTGGTGGGGGCGAAAACTTTGCCAAAATCGAATTTGCCTGTCCACACCTATCTGACACGTATCCGGATTCACTGCAGTACTCAGGACTCCCCTGGGAATATTGGCAACAGAGCACGCATTGTAAAGTGCACAAAATTTGCATCTTGCTCTGCCTTGAGAGAAGCTGTGAGCGAGGTTGCCATCTTGAATACAGTATTTACGGCAAAGAACTGAGCTTGATCTTGTTACATCACCGCATAAAAAAATATTTGGATTTAGCATCCACACGATTCCAGATTGATAGCATATTCAAACATTTCCACTCTGGAGAGCAGATTCGTATGCCGGATTCGCCAGATACGTGTGGATGGAAGCTGTATCCAGAAAGAAAAAGTTGCTGATTCAAACATATCCTGATACATCAAGGGCCTTAGCGGCAGTGCCATAAGTGGCAGTCTTAGAGAGAGTCAAGACTGTACAATATTATCATTCTTTTATTAATATTAATATTAACATACATTGTGATATTACTCTTTTTGCAAATAAGATATTATTAATGATTTACAATTAAAAGACTTTCCAAACCTCATCAGGAACTGGAGAAGCTCCTGTCAAGTCCAGTAAAGGATCACTAAATGTGGCAAGTTTCCTTTTCAGTTGTTCTAAATAACCAGATAATATTATCATTAACAACCAACTCACAACTGATATAAAAGGAAGTTGTCAAAGTTCAAACATTTTGATACAGCAAAGTTTATTTGAATATTTTACTTGAAACCGTGATGAATTTAACTTGATCTCAAATATTTTTTCTTGCTTCTTTTAATGTGGGGAAAGCAGTACTTAATTTGCTTTAATAGATAATGGGTAAATATGTATTTTCTTCTTTCCTCTAGTAGTATTAATGTGGCTAAATTTTTATTTACCGGTAGACTAAGTTAACCTCGAGCCAAATTTGCCAGCGGTGTTCCCATATTAGCATGCGTGACGTATGGGGCAGCCCATTTGGGGTTTTCAGGGCTGCTATCCTTTGCCATTATTTTGCAAGCTATTCTCATTGATTGTTGCGGATCACCTTTTAGCTTTGTGTTAGCGAATCTTCGCAGATTCTTGCTCCCTCTCCTCCCTCCCTGCTGTCATGTGTGGGTGCACAGGTAATGTCACTTGGTAAGTATCTCGTCCTCTAAGTATTTTCCCTGTGCCAGTTAGTGGCTGCTCGCAGGGGTGGTTCCCATTTCCCGGGTTGCCTGGTTACCTCCTTGCCTTATTTTTCGCATTTTGGCCTCCCCCGCTAACCATTTAGGCCCCAGTTCCCAAGCTCATCAACTGGCGATGAGTTTATTAAAGACAATTTTAAGGAAATATTACAATATTTTAAGGAAAAATTACATAATGTGTTACCTTGTTCATCTTCTTTAGCACATTTTGTAAACATATCACCTGTTGAAGACCCTGGATTGACTGTTCTATCTCTGTGAAAGTAATGTGACTGAAAGAATTTTGTCCAAAATTCTTTCTCTTGCATCTAAGAACAGACACAGCAATACTTAAAACAAATCAGCACAAAATAAAATTTCTGGAATATTTTTTAGAGGGAAAACAATTGTCAAGGTTACATTATTAAAGGGTTCAATCTGATGGCTGCTCAAGTCTGCCTTGCTGACAGAGAAAAAAAAACATATGGTCTCTAGAAAATCACTGGAATGGCAAAAAAACATAAATACCGCTTTGAGTGGAAACCTCTGGCTGTGGCAACCTTGTTCTAATCATAACCTTTTATGTTTCTGGAACAAATCCCTTGATCAATGTTTTCTTAATGAGATAATTATCTGGTATACGTCTACAAGTGACAGGACGGATGAACAATGCTGATAATCCGATTACAACTGGCTGTTTCTTCCCAATTTTTTTCCCTCATATAGCATTGTACAGTTTGAAGTCACCTATTTGACCATTTCAGTGCCACGTGTGTTTTTCAGTTTTTGCCATAGGAAACTTCATTCTTTGATTCTGTGAATATTTTTTAAATATGAAAGCCAAATAGAACCTGGCCCGTCGCAACTGACACCTCTGATGCAACTGAAAATCAAAGGTGCTCATTCGTTGCGTAAAAACTGACATCCTTTTTTACATGTAGTTTGCTAATAAAGGATCATTGGTCGTTTCCGTGGGCTGATAAAACAATTGGAAAGGAATGTGGTTCATATGGGAGCAGCCAATTGTTGGGGAGGAAAATTGCACAATGAGACAAAAATGGCCGCGAGGGAGACTAACAGTGCACTGACATGATGCATAATCCAGGATGATTACACTGATTGTTATTATAAATTTAAGATGTCGGTTACCTCATGAGGCACAACCTCCTGATGTTTCCGTCTCACTGAAAATAAAAAAACAACAACAAAATAGTTTTAAACCTTGGTAACCATTTCAGGTTACACCGAAATAAAATTATTATTGTATAACTTAAACAATAATTTATTATTCAAGTTATACGTTAACTATTTATCAAAACCTCAAGAGCTTGTTTAAAGATTATCAACACATATGACACGATTCCTTGTTTCTCCCTATAACAAGGTACACGGGGGTGGGCGGTTATTCAAGGCTGGGCACTTAATAACTTTTTCTGCCTTTAGGATGGACGCTTATTCGAGGTGAGCACTAATTCGAGGTTGGGCACTTATTCAAATAAATATGGTACTTGATGATAAAACTCAATTTTGTGTTTCACTACCCTGAGTAGTCAATTGATAAAAATGATTTCCTTCGATTGATAACGGAAATCAGTGAAAATCAATAAACTACATTGCCTTGTCAAATCAATTATCGATTTTTCATGATCTTAACAATTTATAACGGAACTCCGCCATTGTTGTTTTTTGGCATGAGTTAGATAGTACAGCTGAGAAAACACATCCACGAGTAACAACAGATCAACAAACATGAAAATGAGAAATGTACAAACCATAACACACACAAGTTTCTCTCTAAAACTCTTGGTTTTGTACATAATAACAAAAACAGTTCAGTTTTATAATAATAAATAATATTACATTCAGTTCTTGCAGGCAAGTATCACGAGAACTTCAACCTTAGTAAAGATTTCCTAGCCTGAATTTCAGACATCCCTTCGAGTTGAAGGGATGTCTGAAATTCATTCATACATTTCCCTAGATAGATTTTCACCGTTGCCATTATCAATCAATAAAAACCACTCGATTGCTAACAATTTTTATTGATTATGATTTTTATCTATGGGCTATACTCTGGGATGTAACTTCACCCGGAACTACACCAATGTTATTTTGAAAGGGTAGCGGGTCTAAATCGTGAAAAACTGGGCGCCTACAAACAAGAAAGAAGATTTAAAACCTGGTTTTGAAGAAAAGATAAGATTTTTGAGATTTTTTTGAAAGCTTTTTTTAAAAAGTGTTGATTGTTTGATCCTTTGACTCTCAATTGCAAAATAATTGTCAACAAATTACTGTTTGCATGAAATCAGTTTTCCTTTTTGGACGATTAGATGAACAGATATATCTTCCGATATAAATCGATGAATTTGGTAAAAATCAAGAGAAATTGATAAACAAAACAAGTGTGTCATCAATTTCTACCGATTGATCTACAAAATCGATATCAATCAAATGAGCTTCACCGATTTTATTGATTTATCGATTGATAAATCGATACTGATTTTTATTGATTGACTACTCCAGTTTCAATAGCCTATGAAGCTTCATTTGAAACAAACCCCTTTATTCATATTCAACACAGCTTATTTTTTAGTCTGTGTACTCACCGGCTGGATAAGTTTTAAAAATTGCCTCAATGGTGTCGACATTCAAATTGTACTTGACTTCATTGCATCCAGAGCTTTCTGGTTGCATGTCTGCCTGCAGGGATAACAATGCTTACACAATTAAGTTCACAATTATATTATTGATCTAATACACACAGGATTGATTTAAAACATATACCCATCCACTGCTTTTTTCAGCTTTTCGTATGGGTCAGTAAGCAAAAATTTGTCGACGTTGACAGCCCTCTAGCTAGAAAGAACACTATAAAATCGGTACCGTAGCCAAGTCAAACAATAATTTGTCACAAACTAAAACAGATAAAGCTCTGAAAAGTCGCAAAATTTTACAGAAATTTGTATGGTGGGGGCACCAACTTGCCCCTTACCATACAAACATCTGTGTAAATTTGTGACCTTGTGGAATTACAGATGTATGACTTTCAATCTTGGCAATATTCTTACAATAATTTTTTACAGTAAAGTTGATAGATAATTATGTGGAAATGTGGAAGGTTCTATAATGACCTAGGAAACAAAAAAATTAATGATAATCCAGATTATTATTGATTCAATATTCTGATTAGGGTACCAGGAGATCAGCCTCTCTTTCATGCGTACAACTACAAACAGCCACCAATGCTGAAAACATAACCTTAACGTACAAGTAGTGCTGATGATAATCCAATGGCTTGGTCATTCTGTACAGCTTGGGTATCCTGGTTCTATAAAAAGGAAGAAATGGTACAAGTTATACATTGTAAGCTTCCTCCATTCAGATAGTGCCTTTTAACATTGTTTTGGGGACGACTTCTTTGAACCATGTCCTTAAAAGCAAATTAAATCATGATCTATGGCATGATAAAACGGGACCACAGAAATGTCATTCCATGATACTGTTTAAGCCCCATTTACACGGCAGAAAATTTTTGGCGCGGCTTGGATGAAAGTGGTACGGGTACCAAAAAAAATAGTACTGATTACTCATTTACACGTTCTTTTTTGTACCGTGCTAAACTATGTGAAATTATGATTTGGTACGGGTAAAAGGCTCAACATCTCGGTCAGCGTACTCGATTCTTGCCTAGTGCGCATGCTGCTTCCTCTGTAAAAACATGGCGGACGAAAAGTTCATTAGAATTCCCACAGCCGCATGTGGTCTACGCACAAGGAACAAATGGGTGGTCATTGAATACTGGTGCGGTTGTTGAATTATTGTGTGGTTATTGAAAACACTGAACTAACGAAAAAGTATTTACCACTTAGTTATTGCTACACATTTATATCAAAAAATTCTAACGTATTTGTGGCTATTTCCCACGCAGCTCCATGTTGTCCACGCTCATCAATGAACTAACGGGTGGTCATTGAACTACTGTCGTGTTTATTGAACTTTTGGTTTATATTGAACCAACGAAAAAGCTCATCTGTACATGCTCTCCCACACTGGTGCTGACCAAAGGCACGAAGGCGGGCATTAGAGAAAAGTTAGCTCGGCACGGCTAATCGTTTACACTGCACACTTTATCCGAGCTGGGCTAGATTTTCAGGATCGCGTACCAGTTTTATCCGTGCTCGGACTACCTCTCGACATGGTCCGAGCACGGGTGAAATTTTGGTCCGGCACGGAAGGGCCAAAGTCGTTTACACGACTAAATCTATCCGTGCCGAACCAATTTTTTTGGTACGCGTACTTTTTTCATCCGAGCCGTGCCAAAAATTTTCGGCCGTGTAAATGGGGCTTTAGTGGTGTGCCGATCATCGATTAAAATCAATCATTGATCGAAAATCTTTAAGCGACAAGACAATCGATTATGGATGGTGACAATCGATTATCACAGACAAATTATAAAAAAATTATTGATAACAAAATTAATAAAAACATAAAAAAATTGTGTGTTGTATGCACATTTTAATGGACTTGTAAACAGCAGCTTCCACTGAATACCTTTTTCTCCTATGTTTCATACATTTTTGATGTTTTCCAAAACTTGGCAAAAACACGCTCACGCCAGGCTAGGTGTTGCATTTTGTATTTTGTTCACACTTGATAGTGCGTACTTCATACGGAAAAAACTTACTTTGATGGTTCTCTTAGTTTTATTTCAAATTAGTAGCTGGCCGTAAAATACATTTTTAGATCTACTTACTGCGATCAGAAAGGTTACAAGAGCAGATGAAAGCAAAACAGATATAAACGAAGATCAAAGTGAAACTCAAGTTGGCTCCCAGGGTCGTCTCCTTGTTGTCTCATTTTCATGTTGTCCACAACAAACATGGCAGCTGAGTTTTTTATCAATAGATTTTCCAATTATAATCGATGATCGATCGGTTGGGTCAATCCGATTATTTCCGATGATCGATGATAAAATCTCAGTCTATTCCCATCACTTATACTGTTTGTGAAATTTCAAATACCGTATTTATTTGATTAACCGCCCTGGGCGCTTATTAAATTTTTGGACCTTGAGAGTGGGCGCTTATTTGAGATGGGCGCTTATTCAAGGCTGGGCGCTTATTAAATTTTCACCATTTTCAGCAAGTGAAGTATGTTTATTTTGCAACAAAACAATAAATTAATGCTAATAACAAAACATGAAGAAGTAACAAAACAAGGTTTCTGTAAAATACTCTGAAGAAAACTCCGTCCTCGGGGAAGTCTCTTATTAGAATTTATTCACTCAAGTGGGTGGGGTGGGGGTGAGCGCTTATTTGAGTTTGATTGGGAGAAGGAGGGGGTGGGCGCTTATTCGAGGTTGGGCGCTTATTAACTTTTTCTGCCTTTAGGAGGGCGCTTATTCAAAGTGGGCGGTAATTCGAGGTTGGGCACTTGTTCCAAAAAATACGGTACTTGGAATGTATAATTATCAGTACCTGGCCCTAGGAATAAAAGACACACTTTCTACTTGCACAAAGGATGACATGATTGTAAATACCTTTCCTCTGTTTGCCCAGAACTCCTCAGCTGTAATTACACCACTAACAACCAAATCTTTATATAACTGATACAACTCAGGATTGTCTTTCAGCATTCTAATCAGAGTGAGATCAAAACAACAATGAGAATCAAAGTACCCAAAGCCAAGAGCAAAATGATTTTCTGGTTTGCTACCATAACAATGATAATTATTATTCTTTTCTTTTAAATTTGGATCTGAAGCTATTCTTACTATGGAGAATTCTACTGACACTCATGCAATCAGTCAAGATTCTTCTTTAGATGCTGATACAGTCCAATTCATTTTTCTTGAGATAAGTGAGTCTTTGGGACCGAAGTGTGATCCATTGGTAATTTATTCTGGTAATTTATTACTTTTGAAATAGTTTGTCTATTTACAGTCAAGCCAGGTCAAGCGTATCCCCCAAAATTCCATTAATGAATTTATTATTCGAAAGTTGAGTTGGTTGGCAGTTGTAGATTTCAGATTCATCTCTACATTCTTGCACGCGTAATGAGCCGTGAATTCACACACGATTCAGTTACGAAATTTCTACCAGCTCAGTTTCCCTGAATTTGATGTAACTGTCTTCTAAGAATTTTAATTCATTCGAAGATTTTCAATCTGACCAAATACGGACAAGTTCTCGTAAATTATTCACTGTTCATTACACATGCAGTAATTCCGATTTGAATTTGACACTAGTTACGGGAAAGACTAACAGATTCATTTTTCAAATAATCAATTCATTAATAGAATCTTGAGGGGTACGCTTGACCTGTTTCGACTGTAAAACATCTTCTAAATGCACCACTGTGATTGACATTTTAAAAACAAGGTCAAGATCCACCCAGTACAGTAAATCAAGGTGCTCTTTGCCAGAGATTATTTCTTGTGGATTTGCAGCTTGTGGCTTCGGCCTAGAGGCTGAAGACATACCAACCTGCAGCATCTCTACCACACTCAATCAATACATGCGAGATAAAGGGCGCTTTCCATTTAGGAAAAAAACCCGGAAATTTCGGTGGTAGCAAAAGTGGAATTTCCGATTGGTAAAAAGTTGTTCCATTTGGTCGTAAACCCCGGTACGTGGCGGTGCCCAACCGTGGACCTGGAACTGGTACAAACTACGAGAAACGTAAATGGAACACGAGATTCCGTTCGGAAATTCCAACCGGGAAAACGGGACTACCTTTTTAGATTTTCCACTTTTTCTGGGAATTTTCCAGTGGGACGAACCGACGAAACGTGTTCCATTTACCGCCGAACCGGAAATTCCGGAAATTTTGAGTAAATGGAAAGCGCCCAAAACCTCTCCAGGGTACTTAATTAACACCTGTTCTTTTCTTCCAGTTCTCTGTTAGCTTTTTTCCTATGTGCTGGTATGAGTTGAGCCAGCAGATCTTTTGCATCATCCCTTTCCTTTTTTGCTGCTGCCGCTGGTTCACTTGTGAACTGGAAGGTGAATGAATTCCCATCATGAAGAACGATTTGGATCTGTATCTTGGAACTGCCTTCAGGGCTTATTCGCTGGACTGTGGAGAAAATTATGGAAGATGGCAAAGTTGCACAATTGGACGCCGGCAGTTTGACAGAACAGTACCGCAAGTTACATTAAAGATTATAACTTCATGTGATAACGGGGGAAAAATTTAACAAGTAATCGTGCTTGATGTGGGTGCGTCGAGAATCGATTTAAGACATAGCAAAGGTTCAAAAAAGTTCTGCCAAAACTCGAGATGATTACCTAACGCACACGTGTCAACGTCAAAGTACATTGCACTGATGATGAGGTTTACCTTTGATTTCCGAGTAAGCACACGATAGTTTGGGATTATCTGATCCATGGGGAATCCAAATCAAATTGTTTGAAAGGAGGCGCAGGATTCCAGCAGCCTTTTTATGCTTGGTGTTGATTACTTCAAGAATAACTGACTGCTGGTCCGCCATCTTGTTGATGGCATTGTTGAAGTTAGCCGCTGACCCATTTTTTCTCTTTTTGCATGATTCTAGTACCAGTCCTTTTCTACCAGTTTTGGGATGTAGGCGCAGAGGCCTTTATAGGTGACATAACAAGTATGTTTCAGTCTCGTGTTACGATTTTTTGAATGAATGAGAGGCTGAGGTTGACCTTGTTTTGATACAAACCTCTTTCCTTTTCTTATGGAAGTCATGCTTGTAAAATACTAGTTATCATAAGAACGACATGATTTACATAACAAAGCAGGAAGGGTTGTATCAAAACAAAGTCAACTCCAGCCTCGTTTCCACCTGTAACTGTAAAATGGACTATGGGAATGTTATCTTAATTGCTGGTACAAAGCTCAAATTTGGCACAAAAAAATATATATTTAAAAAACGTTACATTTGTTAGATTAAACCAGTTAAACGTAAAATTACGATAGTTGCCATGGAAGCACGGACGTTTAAAATATAGCCTAAAATTTTTTTTAAATAAGTAGGTTTGCGCAAGAATTAAACCAGTCATTCGATTTCCTTATGAGCTTTCACACAGTTTACAATAAGTAATCCTTCTTTTCTAGGAACAACTTGACCAAACTGCAACAGTTTCTGATCTTTAAGTAAAGAAACCCGACATGTGATATTTGATTGCGTCACAAACTCCTTTGTACAACTTATATTCATTGTTTAAGTGCGAATTCTACCAAATTTCGTCAAAATTCTTAGAGCAGAGTTTGAGACATTTGAGGCGTTTGTTTACATTTCCTTTTAAAGTCAACAAAACAAGAGCTGTCACATTTTTCCTAAGTACAGATGTTCAACACAAGCTTGTGCGCACGCTGAGATTATGCGATATGATAAAAGCAGAATAATAATTTGCGCACCCTCCGTTGTGCAACACCCAAAAAATACCCGATGTAGGGGATCTTGAAATAGTGCCCAGGCAACCCTTGCTGGTCGACACCTGTCGAAGGTCGAGTGTCGTTCCTTTCTACTGCTTTCGTGAAGTAACAGTGGAGTAACATGTCCTATACATGCTCGGGATAGCTTGGGATTCTCTTCACACAAACAAGATAAGTCGAAATAGAGCTCTACCGTTGATCCAAATGGTGAAATTCTAAAGAGTGTGAAAAATATCAAAGATCTCGGTATCACAATATCGTATAATCTATCATGGAGCGATCATATTCACGAACTGGTCAACAAAGCCAACAAAGTCCTTGGGGTCATTAAGGGCTTGCTTGGGTCTAATAGTGTAAATGAATTCTCTTTGCTATACAAATCTCTAGTGAGGCTGATACTGGAGTATGCGGCTCCAGTGTGGTGCCCCTTCCTAGTAAAGGACATTGTTTCGCTAGAAAAAGTCCAGAGGAGAGCGTTGAGACTGGCTCTAGGCCAAAAGAGGGGCGAAATGGACTACGAGAAACATTGTTCCATTTAAAGTGGTCACTATTAAAGAATCGAAGACTGTATTTTTCTTTGATCGAGTGTTATAAATCTATATTTTCTTTAAGTAATCTCGAATTTCAAGGGGGATCATAATTACAAGTTGAAGTTTCAAGAATCTAGTCGTAATTGTTGCAAATATTCATTTTTTGTGAGAATTGTGAAAGAATGGAACGATTTTCCTGAGTGGGTTGTCGGGGCGGGAAATCTTGCATGTTTTAAGCGTTCTTTAGGATCATTTTTAAATATCTCGTAGCATTTTATTTTTATTCCTTATTGGCTTTATTTTTAGCTACCTTTTTGGATGTACATTTGTAACATTACATTTGATTAGCTAAGAATATTTTTAAGATTTTTCTTTTGGGAGTTTTTTACACTCAAGTAGGGTCAACCTCTTAAACTCCCTTTTCAAAGCATTCTTTTTAGATATTTATTTTTGTTTTTAAATGCTTTGAATAAACGTGTGCATGTATGTGTATGTATGTATGTTGCAAATAGCAAACAAATTCTGAATGAGATCAATAACACGTGGCTGGGTTTTCACAATAATAATTTTCTAATGAAAACTTCTGGACATTTTTTTTTGCTTGTCTCAGCAATTTTTCTTGAGAAGCCCATTGGCTAGTTATCATCCGATTTAGATGCTTACAGCAAAGGGAAAAATCATTTCTAGGGGCGAAAGCTTCGAGGTTTTTAGTTTTATATAACGTCAGACATTTGCGCCTACGGAAATATATACGATTGCATCAAAATTTATCTCAATGATTCCGAAAATTGTGATTGGAATGTAAATGGCACCGTTTTTCGGGCGTTTTACTGGAAAATTGCCGAGAAAAAAGTGTAACTCTGAAAAGGTAGTCCTGTTTTCCCGTTTGAAACTTGTCGGGTAGAAAAGCTTGTTGCACTTTAAGAGTTTTCAACAGGATTTGAACACCAGTCCCAGGCTTCCAACGGTGACATCTGTGCCGCCATCTTAAATTTAATTAATTGCGCGAGAGAGCGGAACGAATGGAACTTGTGTCAAATGGAATTCGTACTTCACCAAATGGAACTTCCCATCGAAGTTTCTGAAAGTTTCTGGTAAATGGAAAATGCTTCATGTGTCACATGTGGCAAATTCAGAATGGAAACACGTGTAACACCAGGGCAAGCGCCGACGATTTTCGTTTTAATACTTCGGCGGAGCGCGAATTGAAGTAAAGGATTTGCGACCCTTAGGAATGTTTCAAAGTTGCATACGGAGGTCCCGAAGTTGCTTCTGAATTACTCCGAGTTCTTTGATTCATTCTTTCGGGGAAAAGAAATAATTATGAGGAAGAAATAGTCATTGTTTCTGGAAGAAATAAAGAAGAAATAATTATCATTTCGCCGAAGTGTACGCCCCCAAAGAGTCTTGTTTCACTTGCAAGCTATCCAACCTCGTCCCCAGGGGGCTTTTCCCTGGTTAAGCGCCCTAGGGACGAGGTTGGCAAACGTCAATTTGCAGGGATTAAATTAACTGCAAAAACTGGAAGGAAGATCCAGCGAGTTATAAATGTTGGATCTCTAGAAAAGGGATCTAATCAGCCAAAATATTAGGAATCAATAACGAGAAGTCCAAAGACCACTGCAAAGCTTATCAGAGCAACGTGTATTGTCTTTTCATAACATATAATATTGTGATTCCTATCATAAGTTCAGTAACATCTGTAAACCTGAAGAAGGCTGGTATGGCCAGCCGTAGGAAATATATTGATATATTGATAGATGGAGAATGTCGCAATAAAAATTGTTTAAGAGGGAGAGGCGGAAACGCGGGAATTGTTTCAAAATTATGACACGATATACGTGCGGTTTTTTCCCACGTATACTTGCAATCATTCCTGCTACACGATATACGTGCGTTTTTTTGTCACGTATACTTGCGTTTTATTCCCAAGTATATGACCATTTTCTTACAAACGCGCATATATATGCGCACAAAAAAACCCCATATATATGCTTTACAAACTAGGGTATCTAAAAGATAGTAATGCTGCGGCACATTCTGTTGATACTGGCATTAGTTAGGCAGTGGGGCTTAAAAGAATCGAAAATGACATTGAATGTCCTATTTACATGTTGGAAAGTACTAGAATAATTACTATCAGTCTATATAAAGAACTCGTGGGAACGTTGTTTAAAAAATGATCAAGTGGTTATCAACTCCGATCTGGTTTTCCCACAGTAAATTGTAGGAAATGATAGAAATTCAGATTGTTTATCCATATATTTAATATAGGGTGTACTATATCTTTTCTCTGGAAACATGATACTTTTCTTGCTGTTTATTGCACTTTATTAAGTAACAGTTATTTAGCTATATATTTATAGAAAACAACAACACAAAAAACAGAAAAAAAAAGAAAGAAGGAAAAAAAGAATTTGGTAAGACTCGCACCCGGCACCAGCGACTCAGCGCGACTACACCTCACCACTACACCACAGAGACCGATTACGTTATTTTGGGAAAAGTCTTTAATCTAATTCCTTTTCCGTGAAACTTTCGCCGGCAAGATGATCGCTAGCCGCATTAATCGAGCTATTAACAGCAAAAAAACAATGTAAACGCATATTCCATGGCAATGAATGAATGAAAGAACATAATTATGCTTTTCAAAACGCCGATACACGTCCTCGTCTGCAACGTAGGACACAAAACATATGTTTTGTTATCTCGATTTCCGCTGTTATTTTGAAGCGAATGGTCAAAATCACATCCATTTTCGGCTAATGCAGGTTCTTAAGAATAGCATGGCATGACATTTTCTCACTTTCACATCACCTAGCAATCTGGAATTTGTATATCCCCCGTGTTGCGGAGTCGAAGAGCAAATACTCATCTTCTCGTCAGGTTAAACACCTGGACGAGTCGAAGGCTCCTGAATTGAAATCCAATCCCCAAGTTAACCATCGTACTCATCTGAAAGACTCCTGCGTGTCTCAAATTTGGTAAGACCTCTAACTGTGCTATAGAAAATTTGCTACAAAGAAAACTCTGAGTCTGGGCACCGAACGATGCGAACTTCCCCGTGTTTTTATTTGACTTGTTCGTGGTAAAATGCACTCTGGTTAAATGCAATGCATTGTGGTAAAAAGTGTGGTTAAATGCAATGCATTGTGGTAAAAAGTGATGAATTCGAGAATTCGTCGCCCCTTATATATTTCCTTTAAATCCTAAATATGTTGCTGCTCGCTCCCTTCGGTCGCTCCGCAGCAACAAGCATGTGGTATATGCGGTCGCAGAAAGTCGTCGTATAAGAGGCACCGAATTATACCGTCAGCAAAAAACTCCCTTCATGTACGATGGAGCTGATAAGTGCCTTCAGTTTGAATCAAGCATGGCCGCAATGCCCGCGTTAATTTCGAGCAAGATTTGGTTCTTCTTCATTGCCCTCACAGTAGTGGTGGTTGTTGGCTCCCCGACAACGGATTTGTTGGAATCCGTGGATTGTCTCTTGAGAGACTGTGTACGCTATTTCACAAATGCTGACCGAAACAACGATCGATTCAGTTAGAAATTA